TGTAACCTTACCTATACCATACAGATGAGAAACATTGGACATAATCAAAAAAATTATGGAGAACGAAAGAACAAGCCTGGAAACTCATATTTCTGCATTTCAAGATTTCAAGATTAACTGCAGCTTTCAAAAAAAGTATAGTGTTAAGGCCTAGTGCTCACCTTGCACACACCAGGATCCCATATGGGCACCAATTCTAATCCCAGCAGCCCAGTTTCCCGTCAAGCTCCCTGAGAAGGCAGTCAAGAACGTCCCACAGCCTTGGGACTCTGCACCTGTATGGGAGACCCAGAAGAGGCTTCAGGCTCCTGGCTTGGGTCAGCACAGCTTCAACCAATGAGGCCACTTGGGGAATAAAGGGAGTGAATCAGCGGACAGAACATCTTTCTCTTTGACTCTCCTCCTCTCTGGATATCTGACTTTGCAAATAAAAGAATAAGATCATTCTTTAAAAAAAAAAGTATAGTATTAGCAAAATGATTACATAAATCAATGGCATTGACAAAATTTTTTATATTTTCCACATGACAATAAGTTATAAAATCCACAAATAAATCTATGCGTGCGATTAATATATTATTAACTGACAAAGATAATTTGATGAAGAAAAACTAGTCATTTAATCCGTGACCTTGGGCTATTTGCAAAAATAAATAAAACTCAATCCATAACATATGCCTTGTAAAAATGTCCCTAAATGCATTATCAATGAGAATGTTAAATACAAAACAAAACAAAACAAAATTGTGGAAAGAAATATTGAAAAAAAAGGGTGGCTGTGCATTAAGCTAAGATTTGCTCACTAAAACACACAAACTAGCTGTTATGTAAGAATAGAACAGAAATTGTACATTATCAAAATTAAAAGCCTACCCTTCTGGAAGCAGTGCCATGGTGCAGTGGGTTATGCTGGCACCTGAAGTACATTTTGCTAGACTTCTGTGGACTTAGGTAAATCAGGACACCTTTGCACTGCGACATTTGCAGTCATCTCCCATGGGAGACCTTGCTTCCAAATCCATCCCTCAGCCGGGAAGACAAATGACACAGTGTTATTAGGCAAGAGGGAAGGAAGGAAATGAGCAATGTGATCGTCCCTAATTTGGAGATGATTGGTACTGTATTTTTCAGCCATTTCTTATCACTTGCAGATTCTAAAATTTTATAAAACTTGTAAATAATTTATATAAAATTTTATTACATTTACATAAGATATGGACATTTTTATATTAAAATGATGTAAGATTTATGTTCTAAAGATTTTTAAGTCTTATAATTTCTGTGAGTATAAAAAATAAAATATACACAATTTTATATCTTTAAACAACACTTACAATAACCATATTATATAATGCAAATTACATTAATTTTGCAGATTAAGAAAATATTTTAATATTTTACTAATTTTAATTAATTAATATTACAATTACAGATATTAAAAAAGTATTTAAATGTTAATATTAACACATTGATGATTTTAATAAAATTTTATAAGATTTTAATGAAATGTTAACAATTTTTTTAAATTAATAAAATTTTTATATTTAGGCAAAACAAAACACTTTCAATTTTTAAAATTTTTAAAAATCATATTGACTTTATATTTCTTGAAAGTTGTCAAAAATTTAATAATCTTAAATGTTACAAAAACTCTGATATAACTATTTATGCTAATAATTTTTGGATTTATGTAAATTTTACTAAAATTTAAGATAGTAATTTTATTGAATCTAATTTTAGATTTCATTAACATTTTGTAAAAATTCTTGAAAATGTTAATGAAATTTTGGACATTAGAAAAATTCTGGTGAAATTACAATAAATCTAGAATTTTCTCAAAAATGCTTAAAATTATTAAAAAATTTTTTAAAATAGTAATTTTACAGAACTACATTTTTTTCAAATTTTATGGAAATTTTATAATTTGAATATTAAAGAAAAATTGGCAAAACTAAAGTAATTCCAAAAATTTTTCTAAAAATTCAAAAATTCTAAATTTATAAAAATTCTTGAAGGTTGTATAAAAAATTTAATGAGTCATAAATGCAATACAAATTCTGGGAATGCTACAATCATCGTAAAATGTTTTCAAAACTTTAGTTAAAACAAAAAACTACCCATTTTTTAAAAATGTATTAAAATTTTAAAATATGTAGTTGTTTTACAGAAACTACATTTGTTTTAAAATGCTTAAAAAATTGGGCCCAGCATAGCAGCCTAGTAGCTAAAGTCCTAACCTTGTATGCACCGGGATCCCATATGGACGCTGGTTCTAATCCTGACAGCCATGCTTCCCATCCAGCTCCCTGCTTGTGGCATGGGAAAGCAGCTGAGAACAACCCAAAGCCTTGGGACCCTGCAGTTGCGTGGGAGATCCAGAAAGGACTCCTGATCCTGGCTTCAGATCAACTCAGTTCCAGCTATTGTGGCTACTTGGGGAGTGGATCAACAGATGGAAGATCTTCCTCTCTGTGTATCTGACTTTCCAATAAACATATGCATTTTTTAATTTTTTTAATTATACTGAAATATTAGAGTATGCTACAACTTTATGGAAAGTACAGTGACTAACTTTTTTGTAAAAGTTTCATATTCTAGCACAATTTTTAAAATTTTGAGGAATCTTTAAAATTTCAATAACATTTAAGATAATTCAAATATGATAGTCTACATTTTTTCAGAAATATTTAAAATATTAAAATTATATATAAATACGCTTTCAATTTTTTGGTAATATTTTAAAGGTTATTAAATTTTTGGCGAAGCTACAAACCTGAAAATTTTTCAAACATTTTAACATACAGTAACTTTAGGGAAATTACAGTAGCTCTAAGAATATTTTTTAAATGACAGCCTCTGAAAAAGTTCCTCCCCAGATCTGTGAGTATTTGAGTCAACACAAAATTGTTTCTTCTTTCAAAATTTTTATTAGCAGCTGTGCAGGCATTCTCTGTAATTTTGGGCTACTCAATTGTGTCATAGAAAACAATGGGTTGGTATAAATAAGGCCGATGCACTTTTATCACATATAAATATGAAATGCATATTGAGTCTCGGAAAACAGATCCAGGCTCTAAACATGGCATGAACACAAGTGTTGCATTTTGTTGTTCTTTTCCTCTCTGCATCAGTTGCATTAGTTAGAAATTGAGACGAAACCATTCCACTCTGTGTCGAGCTAGAACGGACTACACTCCCCCAGTCTGTTTCCAGACTGAAAGGGGAATTATTCTCTAGTAAGTTTTCAAGACAACTTGAAAACGCGCGCGCACACACACACTCACACACACAGCCTTCTACCAGTTCATCAAGCATTCCTCTCTAAATAAGGTTATGGAGGGACCGTTCCTGTAGATGAGAAGTTGCTACTCAGCTAACTTTGATTAGAAGATGATCAAAGTGGCTCATTTGACTTGATTGTGTATAACCCCTCGAAGAGGGCTTCTTTCAGTTCGGAGCCCAATGACTCCAAACTGCATTTGGACCCACATTTGTTCTCCCTTCAGCCTCTTAGCTTCCTTGCTGCCTGCCTGCCCGAGGACAGCAAGCCTCAGCCTGTGCCTGTGGGATCCCAGCCAGCTCGAGTTCTTGCCTGATTGCCCAGTAAGTTTCCTGAGAGTAGGCCAGCTTCTTAAAGTGTGTATGCCAATTCCTTGCAATGAGTCACATGTCAGGTACTTCCAAAAACTCCTTGGCAAAAGTTAAACGATGATAGTTTGTTGGGAGATTTTTTTTTCCCATTCTATATAGATATATATATTTCGTTCATATGAGCTGTTTGAAGGCCTTTTGGATACACACATCTACATGTGCACTCACTTCTACTGATTTTTGGTTAAAATAACGTAAGCTAGCTAATCTCTGAGCTCCTTTACCCTTAGAGCCATGTAGGTGACTTTCTCACAGTGACTCATCATTGGCCTGTCAACCTAAAGCAAGCGAAGATACCTAGATTATCCTGGATAGGAATGTAAAAGGTTGTTTTTCCTGGCATCACGCATGACAGCACTCACCTTTTCCAAGATGAGATAACCAAGACCGCCATGTGGTCTCTGGGTGTTCTAACCAAGCTGCCTAATGAGCTGAGGCGGGTGATGGCCTGGGATTAACGCATACTTAACAAGTTAAATTGCTCTGTGAAGCATATTTTGATTGTGATTTCTAGTTATCACTGGAATCTTCTGTTTTCATTCCACGTGTTTTCATCAGAAATAAACGAAGGAAGTAGTCTTCCTGATTCATGCTATTGTCTATTACTTTTGGTGAAAATGTGATACCTGTACAAGACACATAAGACACATATCAACTCTTTTAATATCTAGTTATGGTCCTGACCATATGTAAATGTGTCATCTTTGGTGGCCAAAGTTTTCATCCAAAAAATTAGGACAACGATGAAAGCCAGATAAAAAGTAAAATTTACTTTGGAATTTTCTGGAATTTAAATTTTGCTTAAGTGTTAAAACTTTGATATTGTCTAGATATAACAGTAAGAAACTTGAATCTTAGGGTCAGGCCACATTTAATTCTTAAAGGCACAGCACTGATGTTTCAAAACAGGCTTCCAAACAATAGTGTTACTGGAACATTACATTTGGTGGTGCCATTTTCAGCAAGCCGCTGTGCTTCTTCCTAGATGGGCAACTCAAAACACACCATGAGGCTGCTGCAGTGGCATAGCAAGCTAATCCTCTACCTAAGGTGCCAATATCTCATATGAGCACTGGTCCTATTCCGGGCTGCTCCACTTCTGAACCAGCTCCCGCTTATAGCTTGAAAGAGCATCACAAGACGCTGTAGTCCTTGGGCCCCTGCACCAAAGTGAGAGACCGAGAAAAAGCTCCTGGCTCCAAGTGGGCTCGGCCCTGGCCACTGCAGCCATTTGGAGAGTGAACCAGCACATGGAAGGGCAGAGCTTTCTGTCTATATACTTCTTTCTGAAACTGCCTTTCAAATCAAAATAAATAAATCTTAAAAAAAAAAAAAACAAAGACATTACATGTCAACTGGCACAAATACCTTAAAGAATTAATTTATTTCACATATTGCTTAGAAAAGAACTGAACACATCACAGAAACCAAGCACCTACTGAATCCACATGCATTTCTTTATAAGAAAAAGCAAAGAAAATGCTAAAGTAAATATATCATTGCACTTGAAGCCATACCACTTATCTGTAAAATGGGAATAATCTGAACACCTTTCTAATACTTGTGTTCTAAAAATTAAAACAAGCTATGTTACAGTGCAGCTTACAACTTTCACAGCTATATGTGTGCATAATACCCAGCAAAAGATTATTTTCTAAGGTAATAAAATATAAAATTACAAAAGAATTTGTTTTATCACTTAATATCTGATATTAAGAAAATAAAACAATTTTCCTTATTAAATAAGCAAATTTTATTAACAGCATAGCACAGGATTGCTTTGTGATATTTTATTTTTGTGGCTTATCATTGGGGAGCAAATTGTACAAGGCGGCCTCTTCCTGACACACTCACAGCTTGCATGTCACTCTGGGAGAAGCTGTACTAACACCCTAAGCACATGTACTTAAGAGAATTGTCAGAAACATCTACTCTCCTGAGTTTTGAGCCAACCTCAGCAATAACAAGGTCACATGCTCAAGCTGAGGAACCAAGTAAAATCAGACTTGCAGAAATATTCTGCCATTTATCTATTCCAATCTGCTGTGCCTGTTTTGCAAATCCGATAATGTAGTTAAAATTTACAAGCATAATCGGCTTAAACATAAGTATTCTCCACTATTCCTTTTCCAAACAGGCATTATTTTGCTAATGTCTGAGTTTCATTTTCTTCTATTCAAATCAATGTATTGCTAACTTAAAGAACTGAACTACTCAGATTTTTTTGTTGGATAAAACTTAATTCTTAACAGCAAATGTATAAGAAACATTTCCAATAAATAATCACCATGATTTGTAAATATAGAGCCATTTTCTAATAAAGTATTACTCTGGAGGGTTTTTAAAAAATTTTAAATTTCTTTTGAAGTGCAACTCTGCATGCTTATAGCATGACAATATTCTTGCAAGTAAGGAATTTCAGAGTAAAGCTTTTGAGTGAAGTACGTATCAGTTGTTGAAACTGAACTGGAATTAAGAACTTATTCTTTTTATTATGAAAAGAACATTTTAGGAGAAAAAAAAAAATGAGACCAGCATTTTATGCTGATTGCTGCTTCTTTTCCAAGCATTTCTCAATGTCATCAAGTACTTGAACGGCAGCCTTTGGAATTCGAGTCCCAGGACCAAATACATTAGAAACACCAACTTCAAATAAGAAGTCATAATCCTGTTGAAAAGAAAAAAGTTTGTTTAATCAATACAGAAATACTCCTATTCCAAGGAACTAAATCAAAACAATAATGAACAATGCCCTTGTGGTATTATTCCCAATACCTGTGCATTTCTCAACTGGCCTGTTCATGGTATTTGCAGCTAAAATTTGTTCCTTGATCAGGACTGTTCCCGCAGCCAGTACCACCACCCTGCCACTCCACACATTCAAGTACGACACACACACTGCCCATTTTCCAGGTGCCCTACTGTGGATGTGTTGGTGAGAAGCTCTCTGGCTCTCACTGAAAACTTTGAGCTCCAAGCCGGAGCTTGCCATCACCTAAATTAATTGTGATTACATTTAGAAACCTTTTAGAGTGTGAGTTCACAAGTCTGCATCCCCCTAAATTTGTCTGCACTAGTGAATTGCTGTGCTTTGCATCTGGGCTCATGATGAAGAGGGATTTTATGTAAATGAAGATTAGCTCATTCATTCTATTAAAACTGTTATTTTAACAGCAGTAAAGCTAGAGTGAATATATTCTCAGGCCACAAATACTTCCCTGGGCTTCAGACCCTTTCTTCATCTGATTACTTGTAGCTATAGCTCAACTTTGGGTCATGCATTAGGGTCCTGCTTCTTCTCCCGTCATGTCATCACGTGCGTACACCGCAACAAGGTCCTGGCAGCGTTTATTGTTGCATCGACCTTTTAAATAGCACCCAGCATCTCGCTCAGGTGATCATATTTGGATGATAAGTTGATCTCTCAACTATTTATTTTCTTTCCCTACTTTATCATTACAGCATTCTATTAATGCTATAATTTTGTATTGCCACTTAACACTTTATAGAACTTGCCTTTTCCTAGTCTACGAACTTCTTAGAGCACAGCATGTTCTATTATATACGAAACATGAAATCCACAGAAATGCTCAAAATACAGCACTGTTCTTAAGCAATGTGAAATATTTTAGTAACAATCATCTCCAGATGAGGTATGGTCAGATTGATAGTCAATATCCTTCCGTATTTCCTAATCACACAGCACTCTGCATCATCTGTCCTCACTTCCAAGTGATGGATTTGGAGTCAAGGGCTCAAATGGGAAAGAAAGGCAAAACACTGCAGTTGAAAAATGGCTTCTGATCAACCCAGGTCTTACACAGTATGGTAAAATGTACTTCAATGAGGTGTCAAAGGTTGGCACCAAGTGAATTTAAATAGAGGATATTCATGTGTCCATTTTAGTGTTTATACTTTGGTGTCTCATCTTGTAGTAGGAATGTCTTACAGTCTGCTGTGCCAGGGGCACCACATTGTCTGTTCCATGATGGAAGAAGGCATTCTGAGGTTGCTCAACTTGCCTCAAGTACCTGGCAGTCACTGCAGCCTTTATAGAGCTGAAAGCTCTTGATTATTTAACACACTCGTGAGGACAGACTATTTATTTAATGAGGCTGTGGAAACTGTACGCTGTACATAGGTAGTAACTCTCCTGATACATGTTACTGCATTTTGATTTTAAAACGAAGTGACTTTCTATTGAGTCACAGCAGCAAATAATCAGAGAAAACAGAAGGGTACAGAAGCACTGAGACAGAAGTGTGCCATACAAAGTGGCCTTTACATTTTAACTTCCAAAGAAAAGATAAGACAAACTCTTAGAATGTTCCAAATAACTCAAACATCAAGATGATTACTATGACTTGTGTCAAATAGATCTCTTTAAAATGTCAGCTTACTGGAATTGCTGTGGTGAGTTAAACAGTCGCCCCCGATGCCGGCATCCCATATGGATGCTGGTTCAAGTCCTGATGCTCTATTTCTAACCCAGCTCCCTGAAAGCAGCAGATGGCCCAAGTGGCAAGGACTCTGCCACCCCACAGGAGACCCATGTGGGATTCCAGGCTGCTGAATTTGGCCTGGCCCAGCCCTTTGTGGTTATCTGAGGAGTGGACCAGTGAAGGAAGATCTCTTTCTCTCTCTCACTCTGTAACTCTGCCTACAATCAGGAAAAAAAAATGTGAATGGATCTACATGTTTTTCTCAATATATATTTCAGTTCAAATACTTCCTGCTATCTAAGTGTTTTGCTTCTTACATTTTATTATCATACCTAAGAGCTGAGGTATTTTAAACTTCATGAATAATTTAGATAGAAGAATTCCATAGGCAGACAGCAGTGGAGAAAAACACTTGATTTTCTCAAACATTAAATACATTTATGAAAATAATAGGGAAGTATGTTTTAAACAGGAATTTTGTGTTGAATGCATCACAATGAATATTGTTAGAAATTAAAAGAAAGTTTTGACTAGTATCACTCTATGTCCAACCTCAAGACCTTCTACATTTGTATTTTCTCATTTCCTAAATATTAAATATTCAGTGTTCTATATTTAGCATTGTAAAGAAAAAACCTCTAGATTTGGAAATAAGGTCATATTACTTGAAAGATTCTTGCTACCGGACATGGCTCAATGGCCTAGCAGCTAAAATCCTGGCCTTGAACATACCAGGATCCATATGGCCACCAGTTCTAGTCCCGGCAGTCCCACTGACCCTGCACCCATGTGGGAGACTCATGGGAGGATCCTGCTCCCAGCTTCGGATTGGTGCAGTACCAGCTGTTGTGATCACTTGGGGAGAGAATCATTGGACTGAAGATCTTCCTCTCTGTCTTTCCTGCTTTCTGTATGTCTGCTTTGCAGTGGAAATAAATAACTCAAGAAAGAAAAGAAAGAAAGAAAGAAAGAAAGAAAGAAAGAGAGAGAGAGAGAGAGAGAGAAAGAAAGAAAGAAAGAAAGAAAGAAAGAGAGAGAGAGAGAGAAAGAAAGAAAGAAAGAAAGAGAGAGAGAGAGAGAGAGAGAGAGAGAGAGAGAAAGAAAGAAAGAAAGAAAGAAAGAAAGAAAGAAAGAAAGAAAGAAAGAAAGAAAGAAAGAAAGATCCTTGCTACAGTGCTGAGGCCAATATAGCACCAATAAATTATTTACTTGGGGACTATATAATTCTCTTAACCCAAAAATTTTTTTCCATTCTAAGTTAAAAAACAAAACTGGAAGCTGTAATGTAAATGTTTAACCCGATCCGAAATGTAATACTTGTGCATAGGAGGTGTCCTCAATCCCAGGCCAACAGATGCTAATATGACATCAATGACTGCTATTGAGCACACATTTTACTGTCTAAGAGGCCCCACATTTTTGTTTAAATAGCCACCTTCCCTCCATTCTGCTTATAATTTTCAATTAGATGATTTTTGGTTCCAAGAAAACTATGACTTAATCAAACAAGCTAAAATGAGAAGGGGCTTTTAAAAGCCTATGTAATTGACACAGCTCTGAAGGAAAACAGAGGCGGAAAAGGGGAGGAAATAAGCAGGACAATTCCTCCCTGACAGACGTGAGCTAGAAGACTCACTCTGTCCCCATGGTAAGGAGTCCCATCTTGTGCAGTCTGTCCTCTACATACACCAATGTTCTCTAGTCCACCTGTGAGAGCCTATTACCTTTATGTTCTTCTTTCTCCCTCACTCCTATTAAGTAAGAACAAGATAGAGATTATAAATTATCAGTTAGTAAGAAAGTCGTTCCTGGGTACGTGTGTTGGCTCAATTGGTTAAGCCTCCACCCCCAAGCGTTGCCTTCCCATATCGGCGCTGATTCATGTCTTGGCTGCTCCACTTGCCATCCAGTTCCTTTTCTGTGGCCTGGGAAAGCAGCAGAGGATGGCCCAATACCTTGGGACCCTGCAGCTGTGTGGGGGACTAGGGGAGGCTCATGGCTCCTGGCTTCAGATCGGCTCAGTTCCTGCCACTGCAGCCACTTGGGAAATAAACTAGGAGATAGATCTTTCCGTCTCTTCTTTGCGGATCTGTCTTACCAATAAAAATAAATACATAAATAAATCTTTTTTTCTTAAAAGATTTTATTTATTTTTATTAGAAAAATTTATTTTTAATTTTTATTAGATTGACAGATCTTCAGAGAAAAGAAAAGACAGAGAAGCTGATCTTCTGTCCACTTGATCACTCCCTAAGTGACCACTATGGCAGGAGCTGAGCTGATCTGAAGTCAGGAGCCAAGACCCTCCCCCTGCTCTCCCACACAGGTACAGGGTTTCAAGGCCTCAGGTCATCCTTCTCCGTTTTCCCAGAGGAGGGAAACATGGGGCTGGATGGGAAGTGGAGCAGCTGGGACATGAACCGGTGCCCATGTGGGATCCCGGTGCATGCAAGGTAAGGATTTAGCCACTGGTTCACTGCACCAAGGCCCCAAGATAAATAAATCTTTAAAAAAGAGAGATAGAAAGTTTTTCTCTCATGGAATCTTTGTAACCTGTAAAAGTACACATGACATATTACACTAATGTTTGAGTAATAAACATCATCATCTATTTTTGGATTCCACAGAATTGACTTATACAAATCACTAGGAAATAGGTTGCCTACAAATCTATAATAAATTTATCTTTCTAACTACATAAAAGTTTTATTGTCCAGAATTCCCATGATAGATTTAAATAAATGTAAGAGAGAGAATACCTGTGGTGGTATCACCCCTCCACACATGACAAGAATATCTGGCCGTCCCAGGGAGTTGAGCTCTTTGATGAGTTCGGGCACCAGGGTTTTGTGACCGGCAGCCAGTGTGCTCACACCCACAGCATGTACATCTGCGTCCACAGCCTGCTGGGCCACTTCATGGGGAGTCTAAACAATCAGAAAGGAAATAAACAAGCCATTGTTTACCTCTGGGCAGTGATCAGAAGAAAGAAGATTTTGTTTTAAAAGCGTTTGACTACTTAAGCGAATGTTCCAAGACTGTCCTCACTGACATAAAGATCACTGAATCTTTCACCATTATCAAACTGTAAATTGCACTCACATTATTAACATAACTAACATTAATTCTGTTAGTTCCAAGAATTAAAATTCATCTACTTGGTCTAAGACCAAAACAAAACACCTCCTCCACACAGAATCTTCCAGAACCAGAAGAAATACAGAGAAACGAATAGTTCTCATTACATTCTCTTTAATGCGCATCTATTAATTTTGTTATTAATGTTTATTGGATGGCTGTGTATCATAAGTCAATATTTTACAATGTCTATGAGGAAGTAAAAGACTTAACCCAAAGTGCAATGTAAAAAACTAAACAGGGGGTGGTGCTGTGGATGAGCAGGTTAAGCAATCACCTGCAGTGCTAACATCCCCTATGGTCACTGGTTTGAGTCCTGGCTGCTACATTTCTGATTCGGTTCCCCAATGCACCTGGGAAAGCAATAGAAGACGGCACACATTCCTGCACACATACAAGATATCTGGAGGAAGCTTCTGGCCTCAGCCTGTCACAGTCCTGGCCCCTGCAGCCATTTCAACAACAAGCCAGTGGATGAGAATTCTGCTCCTCTGTCTCTCCTTTTCTCTCTCTCACTACCTCTCTGTGTGTAACTCACACAGATAAGCAATTTAAAAAAAAAAAATTGAGTCCTGGTCTTTAAAATATGATTGGCAAGTGTGATGTCAGTAAAATGTGGAAGACTCAGGAGTTCCAAATCACTGTTCCATGGAGATTCCTGGTTAACAGTAATATGTGAATCAAAATACCTTTATGAGAACTACAGAAACTCGCTAAGGGACTACAGCACTAAAGCAAGTGCATAAGAAAACGAAGGGACGAGAAAAATGGTGTGCTTTGCATTTACTAACTGAGTCTCCATGCTGGAACATGAAATCGCAGAGGACATGTTCAAGCGGTCTCTTATTAGCTGAGTGGTCCAAGATCAGATCCGTGGTCAGCAATGATGAGTCTGCGACACAGCCCTGGTAATTTACATGTACTTAAGTGCTTTCACATAAAATGTGCCTGCAGATTTCATTCTTTCAATATTCTAACTATCATGCTTGGTTGGTAAACCCCTGTGTCAGAAAACATATCCTGAGTGCAAACTTGTGTCACATTCCACTCAGAAGCTAGTATATGCTCTGTGATAAATTTGAAGTAGATAAATCTTTCAGTATAAGATGTTTTCGTGTAAAGAGTTTTGGGGCTCGGGCATGATGGCTCAGTAAACTAATCCTCTGCTTGCAACATGGACGCCAGCTGGAATGATCTTAGCTATAGTGCAATGAGCTGCAATAAATGAGAGGGGACAAATCAATTTTTCAGATGTTGATTTTATTTCAAGGAGTGTATAACTGGATCACATGATATGCCTGCTTTAGGATTTCTGAGGAATCTCCACAATGTCTTCCAAAATGATGACATTAATTTAAATTCTGGCCAAAAGTGTATTACTGTGCCTTTTCCCTCTCATTCTTACCAGATCTCTCCCTGTCTTTCCAAACAGGCATATCTTACATGTTCCTGAAGGCATGGAAAGAGATTGGATTGGAATGCCTATCAATGACATTATGAAAAAAAAAAATTCCCTAATATGGAGAAAGAGACAGATATATAAGAAGTACAGGAGGCACATGGACTTCCAGATAGACACAATCAGAAAAGAGCCTCAACAGTCAACAGTAAAACACAAAGGACAGATTCTCACACGTGTGGGAGACAAGCCATTTTATCTTCAGAGGATTCTCAATTACACTAACAACTGGTTTCTCAGCAGACATCCTATAGAACAGAACAGAACTGATGGATGTGGTCCATGGCCTAAAAGAAAGAAACTGCTAACCCAGACTACCATACCCATTTATAATTGAAGGTGAAATACAGACATTCTAAACACACAGAAATTGACAGACTCTGCCACGTCTTGCCCAGCCTCACAAATGATTCCTAGGGATGTGCTACACACAGTAACAGAAAATGACAGTCATGATTATAAAAGAATATGAAGGCAGAAACCGCACAGTGAAAGTCAAAAGCAGGCTTCACCTCAGCCCAGACAGAATGACTATCATGTGAAAATCAAACAGTAAATACTAACAACAAGGCAAGATAAAAGATGTCCTAATCCACTTTTGGTGGAAATACCAGCTGGTTCAGCTTTTATGAATGACAGTAGAGAGATGCCTCAGAGATCTGAAAAAGGCATATACCTTATGACTTGGAAATTCCACTCCTGGGAATTTGCCAAAAGAAAGCAATCAGCATATGAGAGAGTTATTTGTATCTATTTATTCCAGCTCATTCACAACAGCTAAGATACAGAATCAGCTCAGATAACTGGATAAAGAAATGTGTGTATGCACTATGGAATTCTGCTCGGTCGGAAACAGAATGAGTCCTGTTTTACCCAACATAATGGATAAAACTGGAAATTATTTTGCTTAGTTGAATAAGTCTCAAATAGATAAATATATTTTTCTATGTGGCAGCTAATATAGGATACTATACATATATATGCATGCATACACATATACACACATACAAATGAGATGGTCACTGTGGGATATGATTGTCCTTTTTAGCTGAGTTTGTAATTCAATGGAACTGGTTCGGTCCTACTTTTTAGTTGTTATTTCTTATAATTAGTGGAAAATGAAGCCTTACTATAGAGTGGATCCAAATCATATTTCTGCAAAACCTGATGAAGCCAGTGGAAGTAGAGGTGCTGGGGCACGGGAGCAAGCGAGCGAGGGAAGTGCAAAAGTTGCCTTCTTGGAACTGTATCTTCGGGAAGCAAAATATCTGTTCTCTTAGTACTGAAAACATTTTTTTTTAAAAAAGGTAGCAGAATACAGACAGAGCCAATCACATAGGGAAAACTCCACGAGGAATTTAGAGTTCCTCGTGGAATTCTCTGGCTTGAATTCTAAAGCCATATATGACAGAATTTGCAGAAGCTAAGAGAAGGCCTAGAGTATATCCTTCAGAAGGATCCACTGGTATCTTTCTTTCCGCACATCATTCTTAAGACACCTCTAGAATTGTGACAATAAATGTGTATGTTAGAGGGGGAAAAAATAAAACTGCCCAAGATACTTCACTGTAGCAGAATGAGCACTGTGTTATCACTTGCAGAGAATTTTAGGTTCATTGCAACAACTGATTTTTATGAGCTTAACATTTTGTGACTAAAGAAAAACTGAGGCGAATAGAATAAAACCCGAGGAACTGAGTAGACTATTGTTTGACTTCCTTTTTAAAAATACTTTCTACCAAGCCCATGTCTGTTCTCTTTCCCTCAAAGCATTAACTACTTCTTAAAGAGTGCATGAAGATTTCTGGGCCAATTTTCAGTTTCAGAATCCTCATAAAAATTTTGAAGCTACTTCCCGGACACTGGTATTCCAGGAGGGCTCCAGTAGGAAAGCTAGGTACTCTACCTCTGAGCCAGCCTCCCTGAAAATGGCCTCTGGGAAAGCAGCAGAAGATGGCCCAAGTGTTTGGGCTCTTTGCACACAGATGGGAAACTTAGAAGGCCTCCAGGCTCCTGGCTGCAGCCTGGCCAAGCCCAAACATTGCAGCCATTTGGGAAGAAAACAGACAAGAGAGCGATCTCTCACTCTCTTTCTTTCTCAGCAACTCTATCTTTCAAATAATACAAAACCTTAAAAAAAAATTAACATGAACTAAATTTAACTTTTACTTCTGTCATAATTATTTAAAGTTTTACTTCTGTCATAATTAAAGCAATATACATGAAGAAATAAATTGAATTTTTAAAAAAATATATTCATTGATAACTTTAAAAACTATCTTTTTCTTCTATGTTAATTTCTCTACATTTAAGTGACTTAAGGCATACCCTTGGAAATTGTCCCCAACAATTTTAGTACCTGAAAAAGAGGACCTATATCGACATCAAAACCAAGGTCGGCAAATCCGGTAGCGATGACTTTTGCTCCTCTGTCATGGCCATCCTGTCCCATTTTTGCCACAAGAAGACGAGGTCTGCGACCTTCACGTTCCATAAATTTATGAACCCTAAGAAACATTGTAAAAGACAACAGTTAAATATGATCTTTTCAATGGTAGACTTAAAACCTATAATTCATACATAGAAAAACCTTTCAAGTTTACTTAAAAGTACTCATTGGCTTACTTGTGTATCATTAATATGTCAAAGCCTGCATTCAAGCCCGAAAGCATTCACCATCTCCCACTGAAAGTTTGAAAGGCAGCATACATACCCTGTCATCACTCACATATAATGTGGGCCCCATTGGCCATTTTGTGTTTGTCTCAGAGGCAGAAAGAGAGTTCCCACGGCTTGCTAACCCCCCCCCCCCCACCCCCCGCACATGTCTGCAATTACAAAGGCTGGGCTGCAGCCAGAGTCAGATCCTGGAATGCAGTCCAGGTCTCTATTGGCAGGAACGTAGTTACTGAAGTCACCATCGCTGCCTCCCAGCACTTACACTGGTAGTAAACTGAAGCCAGGAGGTGCAGCTGGAGAAGTCCAGGCACTTGAGTGTGGTATCCAGACACCCTGACCATTAACCTAAGCACATGTCCCTCGCTGGTTCTTCTAAATCGCTCACATCACACTTACTCCTCACAAATGTGAATTCTTCCTAGCTGACTGAAACGTCATTTTCACAAATAGTTTGCTCGTTTAAAGTGACAAACTTGCATACAATGTAAAAACTTTTTATTTCTGTTAAAACATTCATTTGAATGTATACATATGGTATAGTTTATTGCTTCTCTGGCTGTGATAAACCAGACAACTCAGCATTAAATCAAGCACAATGTCAACTGATGCAAATTAGTGAAACTATAAACACAAGATAAAGAAGGAATCCTCGAAAACCTCATCAAAACTGCATATTATAGAAAAATTATATGTGAATTTCAGTTTCTTGTGCTAAAATAAACTTATGTTTTAATTTCATTTTCCCACAAATTTTCTAACGTACTTACATATGCAGCTGCTGCCTGCATAACATGGAACAGTTTTAGAGTAAACATTTTTCAAAGCAGAAGTACAATGGAAAAACTGATTTAAAACCACAAAAATCAGTAACATAGTTGTTTGTACTATTTATCCAGTATTATATACTGTTATAATATTATGCTGTGTTTTTCTATGATTGGTAGAAAACCTAAATCCGTACTGCCATGCACATGTAAGTAACATGCTAATGTCCAGAAGAAAGACATCATGGGAAGACAGAAATCTTCCAGTCCTGTTACAGTATCATAGAATTACTTTAACTTATACAGATTATCATTCACCAAAAATGCCATCAACGTTTCACCTGTTAGTGAATAATCGATGCATGTATAATCATATATTATATATTATAAATGAAATGTATATAATGCATATTTAAGGAATTATGTATAAATTGTATATTTTAATAACCATTGTGCATAATTCACTATATTCAATATAAATGCTCTAATTAACATTTATTAGTTTTACCAAAACTACAGAATGATAGGAAAGTCAATTCAAATATTTTCCAGGCTGTGCATGACAAAGCTAAACTCCAGCAGAGTCGAGGTAATTGTGTTAACAAAAAAATAAATTATGGCTTTAAGAAAAATCTGACATTTTACCTCTTTATAGCAGATGTTATCTCTTTACTTTCTCCAAATTCCTGGCGATAGGCTCCGCTTACCATACGGTCACTAGCTTTATGTTCACCAAACACCTTCTTCATGGCATCTGTGATTTCTCCAACTGTACATCTAAAATAGTAGATGCAGGTTCCAATAACATTAGTTTCAAGTAAAGATATTTAATAATCAATTCAATTAAACATACTTTATTATACAAGTAGAAAATAGGGGTCAAAAACCTAAATAAAGTTTTTAATTTATTATGGAAATACCTTTCCTGATAGTGCTTATGAAAAAGCAATGCTTGATGTCTTTACGTATTATACTCTCTTTTCAATACTAGTCAACCAGAAGTAATTGAATGAACTTAAAACTTCAAGTAGAGAAGTATCTGAAGGTTACTGAATAATTCACCATTTAAAAATACAAATCAATATGGGGACAAGTACAGTGGCTCAACAGGCTAACCATCTGCCTGCCAATGCTGGCTTCCAATATAGGTGCCAGTTTCAGTCCTGGCTGTTCCCCACTTCCTATCCAGCTCCATGCCTGTGGCTTGGGCAAAGCAGAGAACAATGGCTGAAATCCTTGCGAGCTGTACCCATATGCGAGACCTGGAAGAAGCTCCTGGCTCCTGGCTTCACATTGGCTTAGTTTTGGCCAGTGTAGCCATTTGGAGAATGAGTCAGTGGATGGAAGATCTTTCTCTCTGTTTCTTCCTCTTTGTGTAACTCTGCCATTCAAATAAAATAAACAAATGAATACAACTCAAAAAAAGTGTTAAAAAACATAAATGACTCCCACTAATGCTTTTTCATAAGAAGTGAATCTTTCAGCACATTCCACTCAAAAAAGGAGCTTTGGTGAAGATGGTGCAATCTGAGAGAAAGCAGATGCGGGCCCGGCGCGGTGGTGCAAGTGGTTAAGGTCCTCGCCTTGCACGCCCGGGATCCCATATTGGCACCGGTTCTAATCCCAGCAGCCCCGCTTCCCATCCAGCTCCCTGCCTGTGGCCTGGGAAGGCAGTCGAGGACGGCCCAAAGCTTTGGGACCCTGCCCCCGCGTGGGAGATCCGGAAGAGGCTCCTGGCTTCGGATCAGCATAGCATCGACCCTTGTGCTCACTTGGGGAGTGAATCATCAGACGGAAGCTCTTCTTCTCTGTCTCTCCTCTCTGTATATCCACCTTTCCAATAAAAAAAATAAAATAAATCTTTAAAAAAAAAAAAGAAAGCAGATGCAATGGGGAAAAATGTCAACAGGAGACACAACACTGTGAAAAGTACTCTACTCCTGAAACAATAAATGACTTTTTTAAAAAAGGAAGAACGAAGTTGGTCTTTTTTTGGTTGCTTTATGATTGAAAATAATTCAGAAGCAATGACAGGGTAAGTTCTTCCCATAAAATTTCAGATAAATGTGCCCAGCCATATACTTATTGAAATATCAAGATTACAAACGTTAACATGACGATATAAACACAGCAAATTTCAACTTGCAAATTTCAACTTGCAAAAATAGCTTCAAATGCCTTAAAACATGGTAAAACACACAGATTTTGTATGCACTAAATTCCAAGTACATAAACATTATAGATGTACAGATACATAAGGGAAATTAGAATCACATTGATTCCGATTTTCATTATTTTCCTTTTGGATTTACATGGTTTATATGCTCAAAGTTTTATTAAAAAAAAAAAACTACAAAGGCCACGTTCCAGAATTCGGAGATCTCCACACCTACACAGCTTTACCTTGCACGAGCTGCATCCACCGCAAGAGCCAGGATATTCCCATCTCCACTGGCAGCGCATTCCGTTAGTGCCGTAAGACAGCGTTCAGCCACCGCTTGATCCCTGCTGGCTTTGATCTGAAGCAAAAGGACAAGTACACAGGTAGGATTGGGCCCTGACATATACTAAACAGACTTGTTCAACAATCCCAACCTCAAAAATAAGAGACAAAAAATGAAAGGGGGCAGGCATTCTGGTGTGGTGGGCTAAGTCGCCAGCAGCAACACTGGTATCCCATTTCTGGGTGCTAGTCTGAGTCCTGGCTACTCCTCCTCTGAGTCATCTCCCTGCCACTGCACTCAAGTCCTAAGGCCCCTACACCCACATGGGAGCCCCCAGGGAGGTCCGGGTCCCGGCTTCGGTCTGGCCCAGCCCAGGCCACGGCAGTCATTTGGGAGTCATTTGGGAAGTGAACCACTGCACCGTTCCTCCTCTCTCTTCTGTCTGCCCCATCCTCTTGGTAACCCTGTGCTTCACATAAATAAATAAATGTTAAAAAGAAAAAGAATAATATAGAACGAAGGAAATTCATTCATTTGGTGAATTTATTGACCCAGGGTTTTCTAAAGTAATATTAGTTTGATAGAGCCCTGATAAATCAGAAACAAGCAAAGTAGTTACATTTCTGATTTTCCCAAGCACGCTTTAGGCCTTTGTTTTTTCCTAGAGCAGAAAGACACCAGAAACAAATGGGTCAATTACATAAAGTATCTTGAAGAAACACTGAAGATTACTAAAGGGGGAAAAATAGAACTTTTACAGAATATTTAGTTATATTTCAAGTTTCCCTTAACTAATTAACAGGCTGGATTGAATTCTGGCTGCCAAAATTACTTATCCTGAGCAAATTTGTCAGTTTCTTCTTTAGTTTTCTTATCTTTAATATGATAGGAAATAAAAACAATCTCATGCATTGTCATAAGGAGTAAGTAGGACAATGTAAGGACTTATCCAGTTCCTAGAACACAAAAATACCAAACAAAAATAGCTGTGAATACCTTTTTGATTTTTTCAATCTGCTTGTTACGCACTGAAGTGTTATCAATTGCCAGGACTTCTACAGATTCTTCTTTTTCCAACTGGTACTTATTGACTCCAACGATTACTTCAGAACCTATTAATTTCCCAAAAAGAAAGTAGCATGTTGATTCTATTTATAAGCAACTGCCTACAGTCACACTCTAATGACAAGTTTAATCTTAGGTGGTTCTCCTTACTCTCAGTAAAACTGCAATACAGATCAGCAAAGTCCAATCTAGCCTGGGACCATAAGGAGAAAAGGAATATACTCAATTGCACATAAGGGGCCAGTGTCGCAGGTTAAGCAGGTGCCGGGAACAATTGCATTTTATATCTAAATGTAGGGTCGAGACCTGGCGCCTCCACTTCTGATCCAGCACCTGCCAACAAGCCTGGGAAGGCACTAAATGATATCACAGTTACTTGAGTGCCTGACACCAATGTGGAAGGTTCCATGGGCTTCTGGACTTCTGGTTTCACTCTGGCTAGCCCCAGCTGGGAGAGCATCTGGGTGCATATCTAGCTGGCCTATCTTTCTACTTCTTTCTGTCACTCGGCCACTCAAAAACACACTAAGAAATCTCTGTAGAGTAAAACTTGTAGTATTCTCCCAACCAGTTTCTGAGACTTTCTGGTAAACTCTCTTCAATCAGAGGCCCAGCACAACTGTTCAACTAATACTCCCCCTACAAGTGTCAGGACCCCATAGAGCCACCGGTTCATATCCTGGCCTGGGAAAGCAGAGGAAGATGGCCCAAAGCCTTGGGACACTGCACCCACATGGGAGACCCAAACGAGGCTCCTGGCTCCTGGCTTTGGATTAGCTCAGCTCCAGCCTTGATGCCATCTGGGGAGTAGAGTATGAAAGCTCTTCCTCTCTGTCTCTCTTTCTCTCTGGAAGTTGGTCTTTCCAATAAAAATCAGTAAATTAAAAAAAAAAAAAAACTTCAAACAATCAAAGCAGTAATTAACTTAGTAATCAACTAAGATTTATAAGGTAGAAATATTTTTGGTTAAAGGTTAATTCTCTAACAGTATCTGGAATTATGTTACAGCCAATAACTATTTTTTTAAATATTTAAAGTATTATTTTTAAAAACACTATTTTTAAATAAGCATTGTTGTTGAACTGAATCAATGAATATCTCCAAACACAATACGATGACTATCAAGAGTCATTGAGGTTATCGTCAAAACACTGGTGCCATCCACTTACAACGTACATGACAATATCTCAACATTTTTGCAAAAACAAATTAAATTATATATTTTGGTGCAAGAAATGTAAAATGCATATATGCTTTTTAAATAATAAGCATTTTCCATAAACTTTTTTGAAGTCCTTCACATATATGAATTTCAAAAATTTCTGCATGAAAATAAATCATCTTTTAATTCTCTTCCCCAGAGACTTTCGAGGTTTTACTGATTTATTTATTTATGCATTTACTTATTTGAGAGGCAGATTAACAGAGAGCAATCTCCTTCTACCGGTTCACTCCAAAAATGACAACTATAGCTAGGTCTGGGACAAGACCGAGGATCCTCTGCCAGGCTCCTGCAGAGAGGCCATCTCGCGCTGCCTTCCCAGGCACGTTAGCAGGCAGATGAATCCAAAGTGCAGTGAAGACTCAGACACAATTGGGGCATCACAGACAGCAGCTTTTCCTGCCGCACCACCTGACTCCTTACTCTCCACCAACTTATGAAGTATCCGGGTCAAGCAAAATCATATTTTTAAATCCTAGCTCTCATGTATCATTTGTTTCACTTTCTTACCAGAATCTATTCTAGCCTGTCTTCGGGCGGCACATTCTTCAATCTTGAGTTTAGGTATTCCCTCGGCAACAGCTTTAGCCATTCCACCCATTTCCTCAATTTCATTGATGAGCTAAAAAGAAAAAAGCAGATTAATAAAACCAAAGGAAAACATCAAATTTTTCTAAAGTGCATGAATTATTTATGAATGTTGTATAGTTACCCTAATAAAATGATAAGTTAATGTTTCACAATAAACATTGATGGCACCATCTGGGATTTCTATGTTCAAAGTTACACATAAAAAAAAAAAACAAGCAAAGGTGCTTCAAGAAGTTCACAGAAGGAATTGAAAGATATTTTTTTTTGCAAAAAAAAATATTTGAAATCTACAAATTCTTGTCGTAACACATATTTTCCATGGACTTTTTGAAGACCCCTCATGTTTTGGAAAACACAGTCGTCTCATTCAAAACGTGGGAGGAAAGTGCAGACAGCACCAATGTTCTCAGTTACCTTTAGTTACATAAACCAAGACAAAATATGTTTCAAAATGGAATTGTACTTTTGATTTGAGAAAGAGAAAGGGTGTAACTCCTTCTTTAATGAAACCAGGAACAATCTAAACCTTCAATCAGTTTCATATTTGATGACAGAAAAGAAGCGGTAGGAAAGAACAAAAGAAGTAGAAAAGAAGATCAAACTTAATTTTCCCTGAAGAATTCAAGAAAGAATCTATCAGATTTCAAGGAAGATATGGCCGGATGGGAAACTGAAGAGAAGGAGACTGAGACAACTTGAGTACTTGCAATTGCCTTCCTGATTCTGTGAGAAGAACTGAAGTTTACTTTCTGAATGAAATCCCAAGAAACACAGGGAAGGCAACAGTGAGATACTTCACTGAAATAAAAAGCTGTATAGTAAACAGCAAGCCTACAGACTAAAAGCAGTTAAAACAAAGAAAACACAAAAAAGAGACAATACAAACTGTATTAGAAAACTTTGAAATTTCTGAGTGGAAACAATTTCAAGCCGAATCAGACTATGAATCAAGTATAAGAACGAACATGGAAATTTCCAAACAGAAAATTTAAATAATTGATCTCTTATACCATTTTTGGAGGTTGCTGCTATATGAGTGTCATAACAGAATTTAAAATTCATCCCAGGGCCCGGCGGCATGGCCTAGCAGCTGAAGTCCTTGCCTTAAACGTGCCAGGATCCCATATGGGCACCGGTTCTGATTCCGGCAGCTCCACTTCCCATTCACAAGCTCCCTGCTTGTGGCCTGGGAAGGCAGTCGAGGATGGTCCAAAGCTTTGAGACCCTGTACCCGTGTGGGATACCCGGAAGAAGTTCCTGGATCCTGGCTTCGGATCAGCATAGCATCAGCCATTGCGCTCACTTGGGAAGTGAATCATCAGATGGAAGATCTTCCTCTCTCTCTTTCCTCCTCTCTGTATATCTGACTTTGTAATAAAAATTAATAAATCTTTAAAAAAATTTCATCCTAGAGAGAGTGTAAAGATATTCTCAGGATAGTCACAGAGAAGTTCAGGACCTATGCCCAGAGAGAAACCAATTCAAGCAAGGACGGGATGGGAGCACTTCAAGAACAAGCATAGGAAGCTGCTTCAAAAGCTTCCTTGAAAACTGACCTTCAAAGCGGCGTTGTAAACATCGTTAGTGAGGCACTCCATCATGTACGAGCCTCCCCAAGGGTCAGCCACTTTGGGAATCCCAGATTCTTCTTGAATGATAATTTGAGTGTTCCTGGCAATCCGAGCACTTTTCACAGTAGGCAAACCCAAAGCTTCATCAAAAGAGTTTGTGTGCAAGGACTGAGTCCCGCCAAACACAGCTGCCATCGCTTCTATTGCAGTGCGGACAATATTATTGTAAGGATCCTAAAGTGTTTGTGAAGAAACAAAATAAGCAAACAGTTGATAGTTCCTGTAGCTATAAAAACAGTATCATTACCCATGACTGATTTATATTCTCTATACCAATATCTATATTAGGTTTCTGAATACTTAATAAAATTACCATCTTAGTGAACAAATCAGAACTAAAATTAAGAGGCCAAAGATTTAATCTATTTTGAGGCAATAAAACATTGCCTCTTATAGTCCTCTCAAATATGAAATACTTCTTATGCCTACTCTATCATTAGTATATTACAAAATATACCTTTTTTTTTTTAAAGATTTATTTTTATTATTTTGTTATTGGAAAGGCAGATGTACAGAGAGGAGAGACAGAGAGGATGATTCACTCCCCAAGTGAGCGCAACGGGCCGATACTATGCCGATCTGAAGCCAGGAGCCTCTTCCGGGTCTCCCACGCGGGTGCAGGTTCCCAAAGCTTTGGGCCGTCCTCAACTGCTTTCCCAGGCCACAGGCAGGGAGCTGGAAGGGAAGCGGGGCTGCCGGGATTAGAACCGGCGCCCATATGGGATCCCGGGCGTGCAAGGCGAGGACCTTTAACCACTTGCGCCACCGCGCCGGGCCCAAAATATACCTTTTTTTAAAAAATTTATTTTTTTCTCAAAAGCAGAGTTAAAGAAGGAAAGACAAAGATCTTCCACCTGCTGGCTCACTCCCAAAATGGCTGTTACAGACAGAGCTGAGCCGATGTGAAGCCAGGAGCCAGGAGCTTCTTCCAGGTCTGCCACACAGGTGCAGGTTCCTGAGTTTTTGGGCCCTCTTCTGTTACTTTCCCAGGCCACAAGCAGGGAATCAGCAACCCTGTGATATGGTAGTGCTTACAGGTAGATTAACCAGGTGGTGGATAAAGCCACCAGCTGTACCGCTGGCATCTCCTATGTGCTCTGATTCAAAACCAGGCCGCTCTACTTCAGACCAGGTTTCCTGCCAATGTAACTGGGAAAGCAGGAGACTGGTCCAATGACTGGGAACCCTGGACCCATGCTGGAGACACAAAAGGACCTCCTGGCCTTGGGACAGCCCTGCTCCAGCTGTTACAGCCATTTAGGGAGTAAACCTCTGCCACTCACGCTCTTGAATTTTACCTTTCAAATAAATAATAAATTAAAAATTATAGAAACAGATTAAAGCACAGGACACAAACTGGCACCCCTATGAGATCTTCAGCTACAACCTCCCACACCAAACTTTTTAGATAGGAAAAAGGGCACCAATTTGACTTCAGTGATCTTTATACTACTAACCACTAGAGGGAGCCCAGATTACTTGTTACAATATGGGTAACTACAAATCAAAGGCCCGAAAATATCTAGGATGCAGGGCTCCTGACTATCCCATTGTTGCTTAAAAGAGTAACTTTATTAAAGTCTCTATTTATTTAAAATCTAGTATTTATTTTATTTTAAAAATTGATTTGAGAAGTAGGGAAAGGAAAAGAGACAGAGAAATCTCAAATCTGGTTCACTCCTCAAATGAGAGCAGGGCCAAAGCTAGGATACAAGAATTTAACGCAGGACTCCCACGAGGGGAGTGGGGGGGGCAGAACTCAATTATCTGAACTATCACTGTGACCCACCATGTCTTCATTATCACAAAGATTGGAGTCAGGAGACAAGGGTGGGTAGCAAACCCAACCCCTTGCATAAATAACATGTGCATCTTCACCAGCGTGTTAACCGCCAGAGCAGTCACCGCCTGGCAGCTCTGCTTCCAAGCATACCTGTTCAGTAAGGGACCATCCTGATGTCTGACAATGTGCTCGTAGAAGAAGAGATTTAGAGTCCTTAGGCTGGAACATTTTCTCTATTAAGTGAGCCCAGAGTCTTCTCCCAGCTCTCATCTTTGCTATTTCCATGTAGAAATTCATCCCAATTCCCCAGAAGAAAGACAACCTTAAAACAGTCATGTGAAATCCAGAGTTTGGTTAAACTTACCAATACAAAAAAGAAACTATATGATAAAGCTATATGTGATATATCAGAAACAATATAAAATAAGAACACAAAAACACTAAGAAACCATGGTCCAGGTTTTATATAAAATAACTGAATTTGAATTAAAAGCACTAAACATATATTCACGTAATACAGATATAACTTTATGCATGCAGAAGAGATAACTGATTATTTGCTTCAAGCAAGAATTATTTATTTTCAAATTGGTTTTCTTTAGGAATTTAAGAATTTTTATGTTCTTAACTATTAAGAAAGATCCATTTGCAAAAAAGAAATTTTGGGAAAATCTAATATGCATATATAAGGCCAGGATCGTCTATGAAGGAAACAAAACAATAAACTACCTTTGTTTGAACAAAACAAGTTTTTGTAACGAGTTTTTTTTTTTAATTTTTAAAAAAATTGGGGAGGGCTGGTTGGTGTTGTAGCATCAGCTTAAGCTGCCACCAGCAACACCAGCATTCTATATGGGCACAACTTCTTGTCCTGGCTGCTCTACTTCCACTCCAGCTCCATGCTCATACAGCTGGGACAGTGCAGAAGCTGAGCTCCTGCCATCCATGTGGGAGAACCAGCTGAAGCTCCTGGCTTTCTTCCATCTGCCCAACCCAAGCTATTGCAGTTACTTAGACAGTGATCTAGTGGATGGAAAATCTCCTCTCTTCCTCTCTCTCAGTTTCTCTGTCTGTAACTCTGTCTATTTTTTAAAGATTTATTTATTTTTATTGGGAAGTCAGATTTACAGAAAGGAGGAGAGAGAGAGGAAGATCTTCCATCCGATGATTCATTCCCAAAGTGACTGTACTGGTCGGCACTTAACAGATGTGAAGCCAGGAGCCAGGAACTTCTTCCAGGTCTCCCACATGGGTGCAGGGTTATAAAGCTTTGGGCCATCCTCAATTGCTTTCCTAGGCCACAAGCAGGGAACTGGATTGGAAGCGGGACTGCCAGGATTAGAACTGGCGACCATATGGGATCCTAGTGCATTCAAGATGAGGATTTTAGCCATTAGTTTACCACACCGGGCCCAAGGAAAGACATTTTTAAATAATTTATTTGCAAGGCAGAAAGACAGAGATCCACTTACTAGCCAATTTTCCAAATGCTTGGGATGGTCCCAAGCTGGTATCTGCTGAAGTGGAAAGCTAGGAACTCAATTAAAGTCTTCATGTGGCAGGCAGCAACCATATTACCAAAGCCTTTGAAGCTGCCTCAGTCTCAGAATTTGCTTGACTCTAAAAATTACTTGAAATTCTATATAATATTATAATATTTCTGTGTTTGGGTGATAATATATAAATATTTTATTTACTAGTTCATTTAGAATAACAGTCCTACATAATAAAAGTAACATTACTTACAAAAAGATAAATACACCTCTTGTACACTTGCTGTACACTTAAGAAAAAAAAAACACTTGGAATCTTGTATTTGTTTCTACATTCAATCTGTTGCAACATCATGTATCATGTAACTTCCAGAAAACACCACTATAAACTCTTGAAAAAATGAAAGTGAAAGAGAAGTTTCAAGGTTATCAGAGAAAATAATGTTTACTTCAAAGACGCTAGAAGTGATCCTGGCTTATGCCAGGAGCCTATGGATGATCTTTTGAGAATTGCTGTTGTTAAAGTTTACAACATCCTTATGTACAGGAACAATCCTTGCTGAAAGAACTTTGTGAAGGCAGAAGCCATGGTTGCTCTGTTACATTACCAGCATCTGGCTTGGCCTTCACAAAGCTTAACAAGTGACTGCTACGCTAACCGAACCATTGACTGATTTTTAACCCCCACATGGAAATACTTTATAACTTCATGTATGCAAAAATAAAAGTTCAATGATCCTAATATTATGGTAATATATCAGACTAATTCGTAAATAAACTGTGTTCTGAATAGCTGCTGATATGTGTCTAATTTACAAAGCAATATGTCCAAATTGAATTATATTTATTTTGCTTATAAAGAGCATTCACTTGTTCTCTTATTGCTCATATACAATGTAAAAGAGTCTAAATCTAGCATGACATTCTTATATAAAAACTTTCATCTGTATTTTGCTGTATACTCATAAAACGATCCTATTCATTTTCTTAATAGTGAGACAATATCTAAATTTAGCTTACCTTGGTGCAAATTCATCAATTGTGAGGCCAGCCTGCAGTCCAGTTCTGCAGTACTCCAGTCCGTCTGCTATAGTATAGGCCAGCTCCAAAATGGCATCAGCCCCTGCTTCCTGCATATGGTATCCACTAATTGAAATTGAGTTGAATTTTGGCATGTTCTGTGTAAAACAATAAAAATATAATGGTGAATGAAGGTCCAAAAAGGTTCTCCTAAATCTATTTTGCAAAATAAATACTATCTTAAAATCATGTTCAGCTCAGATATCCTCAGTCATGTGTTACCTGAAAACATGGAATGCTTTTACTTGTTACATGAAATTTACTCTCCAATTTAATGATCTTTCTAAAATGTTCTTACTTATTCGAAAGGCATCATGATAGAGGGGGAGACAGACAGAGAAAGAACCCTTCACTCCTCCGAGGGCTACAAGGGCTGAGACTGGGACAGGCCAGAGCCAGGAGCCAGGAACTCCCACTTGGGTGACAGGGGCCCAGTGACTTGGACCGTCTTTTGCCACTTCCCCAGGCACATCAGCAGGGGCCTGGCTCAGAAGCGCAGCAGCTGGCAGTTACACCAGCACATGTGATGTCATATCCCAAGAGGCAGGTTATCTTGTTGTGCCACAAAGACAGTCCATACTCTCAAATTGAAATGATTCACCCATGAACCATCATCAAATTTATACCTGTTTTCCCATTCCGGTGGGAAAGAACAGGAACAAAACATTAAGGCTAAAAGTTTAAGTTTTTGTTTTTTAAAGATTTATTTTTATTATTTTTTTTATTGGAAAGGCGGATATACAGAGAGGAGAGCCAGAGAGGAAGATCTGCCATCCGATGAGTCACTCCCCAAGTGAGCACAACGGCCCATGCTATGCCGATCTGAAGCCAGGAGCCTCTTCCGGGTCTCCCACGCGGGTGCAGGGTCCCAAAGCCTTGGGCCGTCCTCGACTGCTTTCCCGGGCCACAGGCAGGGAGCTGGATGGGAAGCGGGGCTGCCGGAATAGAACTGGCGCCCATATGGGATCCCGGGCATGCAAGGTGAGGATCTTTACCACTGTGCCACCGCGCCGGGCCCAAGTTTAAGGTTTTTTAATTATCTAACTGAGGTTAAAAACACAACCTTTGGCTTGAGAACTGAACAAGGACATCTTTAATTCTAAACTATTCGGACTTTAACTCCACAAGACTTCACAGAATTTATAACTGGTTTCATCCGTTGAAGATGTATAAACTTAATGGTACTTACTAGTTGCTAATTTCCTTACTTGAATGAAAGTATCAAACATGAATAAGCACATAATAAAAAAATCATGTCCTATATATTGAAACAAAGCCAAAAAAAAAAACAAGGCCTAGAAATGAGATTTTAGCTTAATTTACTATGAAATTTAATGGTACGCATTTCCAATATGGATTCCTTCTGCCACAATCACTACGGAAATTAAAAATTAAAATATTTTCCCAAGTTTATACATTAGGTGGAGTATATACCACACATATCCTAGAGAATTAAAAAATTATCATCCTTCCCATGACAATAAAACATAAGTCAAATGAAAACTTTGCAGAAGCTCAGTACAGTGATAGTCTTCGAGTCACACCACTTAAATCATTGTCATTTAAAGAGCTGAGGCTGTAGTTTCCTAAACTACAAAATAGATAAAATAACTGTAATCTTCCTCATGGATTGTTTTAGGATCATTAATAACTATTCATCAAAACTAGCTGATATTGTCATTCCAGTACATAGTAAGCACCAAAAAAGTTGCTTTCATCGTTAATGTATGATATGGATTAAATAACCATATGCACGTATGACATGCATCAATCATACGCATTATATGAGCACATACACCTCAAATATATAGCGTACATTTTCAAACGTTTCATATACAACTAACCAAAATTCTTAATACGCCCTCTCAAATCAGTCACATAGACCTGCAAATCTCCTTTTTCCCTGGACTGTACATACAAGAAACAACACACAGGCACTTGGTTATGCAGCTTATTTGCTGAATTTAAGAATAGCAGAAAAAATACAAAATTGAAATATTATTCAACCTCTAAAAGGAAATTCCAACACATGCTACAACATGGGTTAAGTCTTGAGGATATTACCGTAGGTAAAACAAGCCTATCGTAAAAAGCAAAATAGTACATGAATCCACTTATATGGAGAAACTAAATTAGTCCAATTCAGAAAGACAGAATGCGGTCCCTGGCACATAGGCACACCTAGAGGGACAGGGAGGAGAAGGAGAAGTTACTGTTTAACAAGCACAGAGTTTCACACTAAAGAGTTCTGGAGTTAGGTGGTTGCACAATGTAAACATAACCAACGCCACTGATCTGTACACTTAAAAATAGCTCAGATGACAATTTTGTTAAATGCATTTTGTCACAATTAGAATTTTTTAAATATAAATGAACATTTTCTGGTCTGTGTCTACAAGCAACTATAAATTGGTGGATGACATTTTACAAAGTGAAATGACTAAGCATAGATAGTACAAACTGGTCCTCTATTTCCCTCCTCCTGGAACAGAGGAACCATACATGCAGAGTGCAACGAAGAAAAACTACGCTCAAGCTTTCCTTGCTATGTGTGAGAACACATAAGGCTTTTTAGTGTTCCTCCTGCACATTTCCCCTAAGTCAGAGATACAGGTTCTGCTTTGCTACAAACTTAATCCACCTCCTTCCTCAACAATGAGCTGACACTCTGACAAGAAAGTGAGAAAGAAGATGGAGTCCTGATAACTGTGCAGTTGACCATATCAGCGAGCTCCTAACCCACAAAAACAGGAACAACTGTTATTTGTCTTTGTCATACATTCCTAAATAAAATTCTCCTGTGTAAATGCTTTTGCAATTGAAACAAGATAATAGAACATACAATTTTATTCAGTGCAACTCATCAACAGAAGTAACTAAACAGTACAGGTAATAATAAATATCTATTGCTCAGGTTCCTACAGCAAATGACAGACCATAAAATTATTAAAAAATAAAAAAAAGTAAAGATAGCTTTACCAACACCCTAGCTTTAGACCGTAGCTATTACTCAGACTTGACTACCAAATTCAGATCAATTCACAGCATTGTGCAAAAATGTCTGCATTCAAAAAACAAAAGCAAAAGTTGCAGCCATTAATAAGCTATACCTGTGCTGTGTACTGGAAGATGTCAGCAATGATCTTCATGGACGGCTCTGGAGGAAAAATGTAAGTATTTCTGACCATAAATTCTTTTAAGATATCATTTTGGATTGTACCAGTGAGTTTCTCTTTAGGTACTCCTTGTTCTTCTCCAGTTACTATAAAATTTGCAAGAACTGGGATAACTGCCCCATTCATGGTCATGGAAACTGACATTTTTTCTAAAGGAATTCCATCAAAAAGGATTTTGGTGTCTTCCACGGTGTCAATGGCAACTCCAGCCATTCCAACGTCACCACGAACTCGGGGATTGTCTGAATCATAGCCACGGTGTGTTGCCAGATCAAAGGCAACCGATAATCCTTGCTGACCAGCTACAAATACAAAGACAAGCAATGCAGGGGTAAGAGTTGGCCAGCAAGATCAACTGTTTACTAGTAATTCTACTAAAATCGTTAACTCATTTCAACATTGCGTACATTTACAACAAATCTTTCTATGCACAAACTCAAACAAATTTACCCAGATACCTAAGTTCCTAAGAGACTCAGTTGTTTCCCACATGCCAAATATACAAATTAAGTCCTGAATTTCATTATAAGAATGGAAAAATCACAGGATTTAACCTATCTCGGATCTGAGTCTATTTTTTAAATACGAATAGTTTTTGATGGAAACATTCTAAATTTAATGAGAAGATCTAATGGTTCATAGTTCACATGTGGCATTTGGATGGTCACCATTTCTGCTTCTTTTATCTTACATGATCGTAACAGGTGTCTTGACTATTCTGGCATTTCAGAACTGAATTCTAAAAAAATCACACCTCACTTTCCAGAGCAAAATTATAAAAGTCATACAAAAATTTTAAGTAACCAAAACAGTCCACACTAAATATAAATTCAATCCTCTATGAGCAATATAAACTTAAAAATCCTCCAATTTAGCACTCAAATAATAATTGCATTCTAGATAAGAAGATTTCATAAGTACAACTTGCAGCAAATGAATGCCAGATTGTACTAAATTTGTTAGCAATACATTCTAATGTTTCTTATTTCCTTTAGGTGGTAGGCTAAGCATCAGCCTGCAATGCCAGCACCACATGCAAGCACCAGTTCTAGTCCAGGCTGCTCTGCTTCTGATCCAGCTCCTTGCTTAGGGCCTGGGAAAGCAGCAAGGACGGCTCAAGTCCTTGTCCCCTTCAACCACATGGGAGACCTGGAGGAAGCTACTGGCTCCTGCCTTCAGATCAGTCCAGCTCCAGCCACTAAGGCCATTTGGGGAGTGAACCAGCAGATGGACAATCTTTCTCTTTTCTTCTCTCTGTAAATCTGCCCTTCAAATAACAATAAAACTTTACAAGAAATAAATACTCTCCCCTGCAATTTTTATCCTAACGTCCTATCTCTTTGTTCCCATACAACTTCACTTCATCTAAGTGTTTTCAAATAGCATGTACATGTTTTTCATTTTCAAGGATTTAGCACTTCATTCTTACTCGTCTATTTGACCATGGAAGTTAAACAGCATACATTTTTTTTTCCAGAGTATGGATTTAGCTAGAAAATTAAAAGTATCATCTTAACAGAAATTAACTAACCTTCCTTGCTTAAAAAAATAAATAAAAGATATGCATCTTATAAATACAATGTCTCATATTTTTAAAATCTCACCCTTAATATTATCCTTATAGAATTTGTTGCTCTCTTCCACGGTGCTAAAGCCAGCATACTGGCGAATAGTCCAAGGCCTAAAGGTATACATGGTGGGATATGGCCCACGTGTGAATGGCTTTACTCCGGGAAGCTCTTCAGGTAAGTCCTGAGTATCCCTCCTGGAATATAAGGGCTTTATAGAGATGCCTTCTGGGGTGTGCCATATTAGGTCTTCTGGGTTTTTGCCTTTCAGCTGCTTCTTAGCAAGGGCAGCCCATTCTGGATGAAGTGGTTGTTGCTGATGCAGACACCGTGTCCTGATTAGCCTGGAGCTCCTTGACTCTTTTATCCCCTTCAGGCAATGGGGTGAAAGTGAAAACAGCTGAGTCTTAGCTCTCAGCATGCTGGAGCAAAACACTCAACAGTGATCAGAACTGACCTAGAAGAGAAACAAAATACATATATATTCAGCAGACATGGGGGATATTGACAAGACGGCTAAAAAGAAAGCACAGGGTGTATCAGTCTGATTTCACCTATTCCTGGTTCTATTCACTGTGACTGATACTTCTGGCCGCCCTTCTCCACACTCAGGGTCTTTGTTCCAGCCTGTCTTCTTTCCTACCCTCTTGGCTGGCTTTGCTAACCCTATCTTTCACCCCCTCTAATCAATTCCACACTAGGACAACATTTTCACAAAATGTTTCAGAGGCTCTGTGTCATTTAGAGGACACAGTATAGCATCCAAATTATTGCTTCATGCAAAACATTTGTATTTAATATCTACTTTGTGACAAATATTATTCGGTGATAGAGATCAACCTGGGGAAAAAACAGACAGAAGTTCCGGGACCTGGTCTCCACCCACACCCTGGATTCACTTCTGCCTTTGTGCTCCAAATGTTTCGTGTTCAAAAAACACCAGATTACCCGTTGTTTCCTGCAAAAGCCAAGTTCTATGAACCTGTTGCTGCTCTTATTCTTGTTCATAATCTTCTTTGGCTGATTGAGGTAAGCCACTGACTCCAAAATGCAAGGTTTCTGTGTGCTGAGCACAGAGAGGACGCTAAGGACTTCTCAGACAGCGGTAATTTTAGTCCCCACAACACCAGCAAGAAGTAGGAACCAATATCATCTCCATTTGACAGAGTATCCAGCTGAGGCACAGAAAAAGCAGCAGTTGAATCAAGACAACTGCATTTCAAGCCCATGCATTTATTTAACTAATAGGCTCACAAACTGTCCATGAACCCCTTAGGTTGGGCTGATTGGATTCTGCATTGATCCAATTCCCCATCAGTCTAAACTGTTCCTACATTATGACTAATTCCCAGTAAACAGCACACAAAATTCACAAAGTGACTGGATCCAATTTCAACATTTTATAGTTTTTTAGAAATCAGGATTCAAAAACAAAGGGCTTAATCAAAATTCCACATAACATTGAACCATTCACCTGAATTACGAAATGCTTGTTAGAATTACACAGTCTCAATATAGTGCCTATTATTTTAACAGGTTTGAGGTGTATACTTTCTTAATATATTCATCACACATTATAATGGATAAGACAACAACTAAAGTAACTATAAAATCATATTTTCAATGCAATGTATCAACTATCAACTTAATTGAGCTCAAGTTAACACTTATTTTCGAGTCATAAATAAGGTGCACAAACCACCAGTGTATTTACTTAAACTACTTTATAAAGCAAGTCATCCCTGGTGCGGTAGCCTAATGACTAAAGTCCTGGCCTTGCATGCGCCGGGGTCCCATATGGGCACGGTTCTAATCCCGGCAGCTCCACTTCCCATCCAGCTCCCTGCTTGTGGCCTGGGAAGGCAGCAGAGGATAACCCGAAGCCTTGGGACCCTGCACCAGCGTGGGAGACCCAGAAGCTCCTGGCTCCGAACTGATTCACCTCCCCGCCATTGTGACCACCTGGAAAATGGAGTAGAAGGAAGCTCTGTCTCTCCTCTCTGTATATCTGCCTTTCCAATAAAAAATAAATAAACCTTTTTTAAAATGTAAATTGCCGGGCCAGGCGCGATGGCGTAGTGATTAAGGTCCTTGCCTTGAATGCCCGGGATCCCATATGGGCGCCGGTTCTAATCCCGGCAGCCCTGCTTCCCATCCAGCTCCCTGCCTGTGGCCTGGGAAAGCAGTCGAGGATGGCCCAAAGCTTTAGGACCCTGCACCTGCGTGGGAGACCCGGAAAAGGCTCCTGGCTTTGGATTGGCTCAGCTCTAGCCGTTGCCGCCACTTAGGGAGTGAATCATTGGATGGAAGATTTTCCTCTCTGTTTCTCCTCTCTGTATATCCGCCTTTCCAATAACAATAAAAATAAATCTTTAAAAAAAAATGTAAACTGTCAACATATATTAAAAAGTTTTAGAAATGTCTCAACCATTCCACTGAGAAATACCACACCGGGGAAAGTTGCTATAATAACACATAAAATTAATGTTTTCTGAGGTTTTCATAAAGTGAAAACTACATCATGTGAGTTATAGCCTATACAAATGATAATTTTTAAGGAGTTACTAAACTATACTTAGGGAATAATCTCTGAAATCGTAACAGTAGTCATGTTTGGTACTAGTACAAAGGGAAAAGCAGCAAGCTCTGAGGGCTCACACTGTAACATTGTGAGTTCAGCTGCCAGCGCCTGTTCAAGTCCTGGCTGCTCCACTTCCAATCCAGATCCCTGCTAATGCACCTGGGAAAGCAATGGAGGATCGAGCGGGCCCCTGTACCCTTGTGGGAGACCTGTAAGAAGCTCCTGGCTCCTGGCTTTGGCTTTTGCCGCAATTTGGGGAGTGAACCAGAAGATGGAAGAACTCTCTCCCTCTGTCTTTCAGGAACTCTACCTTTCCAATCAATAAAATTTTACTGAGAATATTCATAGAACTTTCTTAAACCCTAGCAAATGCTTGCAAAGTGCCTTAACGACAATTTCTTGAGAAGTGCATGGCAAATTGGCAGAGCCTGTAAAAAATCGTTTAGGTAAGAAGGGAACTGCTCTTAGTGGCAATAAACACTCAAAGTTATCTCGGAAGACCCACCGAGAGAGAGGTTAAGAATTGAGAACAATGCGCAAGGAGAACACAAGCTACTGATGACCAGTGTTTCCCACAGAGCAATAAAACCCATTGGTGATCTCCAAAACACATCTGTCAAGGGCTTCGTGGTTATTAAAAAAAAAAAAAAATCGCCCTCTTTCTAGGCAAAACTGAGAACTCGTTAGTGACTGCCACTTCTCCGTGACTTGAGGCTTTTTGTTCCCATTCCATGTTTCTCACCCACCGACATTCAGAGTCACGGTGAGTGTCGCCACCTCTTACAAAACCTCACAATAACCCGAAGCGCACCACAGGGCAGACGCAGCGAGCGTGCAGTGTCTCCCTCAGCCCCTCGGAATTTTTGGGGGGCGCAAAGACAGATAATCCCCTTCCTCCAGACAGTCCACTCGCGTTCTCGAGAGCCTCGATGAAAACTGTGATCCGAGGAGCTCGGTTCAAGAGGAGGAACCTGTCACAGCAGAATCAGACAAAGTCAATAAAGGACAAAGGCTCACAGGAGACCAGAGGTGCCGGGAGCCAAAAGCGTGCAGAGATCGCAAAGGCGCACAGAACTACTCACTGTCCAGCCTCCCTTCACCTCCACTGCAGCCGCAGCTGCTTCACCCGGCCTCAGCAGCCAGGAGCGGACCCACTCCGCCTGACCTCTTATCCCTGTACTGCGCAAGCGTGACGGGGGCGTAGCCCGACACCGCCCTCCTTCCAGCCAATAGAATCGCGCCGACGCTGGCGCGTTTCGATGACGTTAGCAAAGGCCTAGAAGCCGCCTCTTGCTATGGGCTTTCCGCTATGTGCCGGTCAACATCCGGTTCTTCAGAGTTTTGAGTGTTTGGGCGCGAATTGAGTGACAGGTCTGAGAGACGTCGGTGGAAGCGGTAAGTGGCGGTAGGCGCTCATCCCGTGGGGTGGGTCCGCCCGGCGGGATCGAGTCCTTGGAACCTGAGCAGAAACGAGTGCTGCTCTACCAGGTCGGCACTTGGGAGCCGCGAGGGGCGACGCCAGCTCCGGTGGCCCTGCCCGGCAGCCCGGTGGCCCTGCCCGGCAGCCCGGTGGCCCTGTCCGGCAGCCCGGTGGCCCTGCCCGGCAGCCCGGTGGCCCTGCCCGACAGCCCGGTGGCCCTTGCCCGGCAGCCCGGTGGCCCTGCCCTGCAGCCCGGTGGCCCTGCCCGGCAGCCCGGTGGCCCTGCCCGGCAGCCCGGTGGCCCTTGCCCGGCAGCCCGCGGTGCGTGGGCTCGGCGCGGAGCCGGCCTCGGTGTCCCGCGGAGCTGGAGATGCCCGACCTCCAGCCGACGGGCGAGGGAGCAGCTCCTACCTCCCGCAGTGACCCTGCCCGGACCAGCTCAGCCTTCCTTGGACCTCTGCTGTCTTCCTTTCCTGAAAAGCCTCGCTGGAATGTTCTTGGCCCTGAACACACACCACAGTCTTTCCAATTGTCTTGTCACCCAACTCTGGCTGTTTGCTCTTGAATGTTTTATTTCTCTTCTTTCTGCCAAAATATAGCAAAACGTGATTCTAGCAATTTTTCTCTGGATACTGCATGTTCTCACGCATATCACACACACAAGCCAAATCTGAAAGACTGATTCACTCCTTCCAACTTCGTTTTTCAATCTTATTGAAAAGAGAAAGAAGAGGGGTTTGTGGAAGGTTGGTGTTTTTAAGATATAAAGAAAGAGATTCACCTGAAGTACTTCCTTTATTGTCTGTGTCTAGCCCTACAAATTACCTATATGATTTAGCTATGTTGTGTAATTAATTCCAGGGGTCTAGTGGCAGGATGGTTACTGGTTTATCTACATAGGAGGCTTTAAATACATACAGAAAGTAGCACACCCGTATATATGTATACATGCTGCTTATCTGCTGCCCCTAACTTCTAAGTTACATTCTTTATGGCCTAATACAAGCGTAAGTGAACTCTCCTCTGTGCCTTTTGTCAGAAATGAGCTTGGTAATAAAGGATCATTAGAAAGAGAACAGGAATTACTCTCACTTCTGCCGTTGACGTAACCATCCACACTCTCATGTCCGTGTTTCCATTTGTTGGAATACCAGATTCCATTTGAAATACCCAATTCCGTCTGTTGGAGGACAGAGTAGATCGGTATCGCTTGTACCCTTAGCACAGAGTGAATCACAGCCGACTGTAACATGGGTTCCCACAGCAGAGGTGGACAGTGTAATCCTAGAAAAGGTCTCCTTTTGTTGGCATAAATTGAGTTAATGGTAAGTCTGTTACTTAATGTGACGCCTGCGTATTACTCTGGACGGACAATACACATACCACATTATATTTCCATTTTGTTGTATTTAACCATGGAGATATCGTCTGATGAGTGTAAAGAGTTCAAAAACTTCTCTAAAGCCATACAAATGGAAGTAATTTCAAGAGGTAATATTTAATTTGATGATTTAGTTAGGTTCTTCTTTCTAATGAAAACCAACGTTATTTCTATTAAAACGCATTTAAAATTTTAAAAGCCCAATATACAGTTGCCAAAATTGTATTTACTATTTTGTTTATAAAAGAGCTTTTGAAAATATTATAGTTAATCTTTCAAGCAAAGCATTGTGTAAGGCAATACCTTGTGTGTGCTTTTCATCTGCGCAGATTTTTGAAGTGTTTAGATCAAGATGCTTGGAAAATCAAGTGTATCCAAGAAGACTCCACAGGGAAAGAGAAATCCAAAAAGAAAACTTGATAATGAGGAAGCAAAGCTGCCAGAGAAAGAGGTAATGAACGTGTCAAATTAACCATTTAGAACTGATGGAAATATCAGCTGTTCTTTTAAAGAGGAGAATGTGAAGACTAGGGGTCATTTTTACTACAAATTGTAATTAATATTGTCTGGGAGCTTTTGCAACATGATTTGTAAAGTTCTGAGATGAAAATTGTTTACTTAAATTTCTAAAAAAGTGTTTTCTGTAATATTATTTGGAGACAAAAGACATTGCTAACATGCTTAAATAGGACTCTAGAAATAAAGTATGCAAATTCATATAGCATTCAGATGTTAAAGGACAATAAAAATCGTCAGTTGATGAAGGGGATTTTTTAATTACACAGCGAAAAAAAAAAAAAAGTAAGAAGTACTTTAGAAGGAATTAGTTTCTTCCTACCATAATCTTGATCTTGTTTATAGGAATAAGAAAAAGAAATGATTTGATTCTTTGGGAGGAGCTGGGTTTTACGCTGTTCCTTGGGCAGCACTTCTCTTTGTTTTGCAGATAATGTATCGATATCTTTAAAACGGTTTTGACCAAATACAAAATTCCATCTGTCCCCCGCCATGGATAGACTGGTTGTCTGTGTGCGTGTCTTCCTGCTGTACAAGGAGCAGCGTATCTTTATTCTCAGAAAGTATGATTACTCTTAGATCAACGAGACAAGTCTGTAACCAAAAACTTTTCACTCAACACTTTACTCTGTATGCTTGTGTCTTCTAGGTTAAAAAAGCAGTGAAAAGTAAAAACCACACAGAGCGCCTGTCTCTTGGAGGTACTTACTCTGTCTGCCTAACCTGTGAGCTTCTTAAGCTAAGTGTATGCTTAATGAAAAAATTCCCAACATCGTGTGTATGAATCCTGCAAAAGCAAAAGGTAGTAAGAAACAGCTGCATTTACATTTGTGCAAAAATAGGTAATGTTACTTATCTATTTCGGTCAGCTGGGATTTACTAAACATCCCTAGTGAAATATTATTAATGCTTGTTTTCCACTAAGCTGATATGAACTGGTTTGGAGTGAGTTCCTTTGGGGTAGGTAGTCATGTTTTCTTAAATATCACTTTTTCTTTTTTTTTTTTTAAGACTTATTTATTTTTATTGCAAAGTCAGATATGTAGAGAGGGAAGGAGAGACAGAGAGAAGTACCGTCTACCCAAGTGGCTGCAACGGCTGGCGCTGCATGATCCAAAGCCAGGAGCCAGAAGCTCTTCCTGGTCTCCCATGCAGGTGCAGGGTCCCAAGACTTTGGGCCATCCTTGACTGCTTTCCCAGGCCACAGGCAGGGAGCTAGATGGGAAGCAGGACTGCCGGGATTAGAACCAGTGCCCATATGGGATCCCAGTGTGTTCAAGGTGAGGATTTTAGCCCCTGGGCCTTTTTTTTTTTTTTTAAAGATTTATTTTTATTATTTTTTCATTGGAAAGGCAGATATACAGAGAGGAGAGACAGAGAGGAAGATCTTCCGTCCAATGATTCACTCCCCAAGTGAGCGCAACGGGCCGATACTATGCCGATCCAAAGCCAGGAGCCTCTTCCAGGTCTCCCACGCGGGTGCAGGGTCCCAAAGCTTTGGGCCGTCCTCGGCTGCTTTCCCAGGCCACAGGCAGGGAGCTGGAAGGGAAGCGGGGCTGCTGGGATTAGAACCGGCGCCCATATGGGATCCCGGGCGTGCTAGGCGAGGACCTTTAACCACTTGTGCCACTGCGCCGGGCCCAGCCCCTGGGCCTTAACTATCACTATTCCATGGAAGTATTCCCTACCTTCCCTCACTCGGGACAGGGTTCTTCCTTTATACTTATGTAATGAACAGTGCTTTTTCTTTTGTCCTGTTTTACACATATATATTTTGTGTAGTTTTCTTCCTCACTAAAGCTATTTTTTTCTTGACAGACAGTCCTGCATCTCCCTTTTTCATGTCTTTTAGGTATCATTAGTACTGACCAGTGAGGTTTCATTAAACTGTTTTGTTACAGTTGCTACCTTGTTACATGGCAGAAAAAATGTTCTAGTCTTCCCAGTGAAACTTTTAGGGAATTCATTTTTGAGAGCCAAATGTCTAGTAATTATAGCTTGATTCTTCATTTTAAATTATTTGCTTTGAGTTTGTATTTTGATGTCAGTATAGAGTATACATTTAACACAATAGCAAGTTCATATTCACCACCTAAAATGTTTTGGCTGTGAATTAAAAGATCAGTTAAACAGCTTATACTGCTTCATAGAGCTCGATCCTATTTCCATAAGCTTTTACATTTAATAAATCACGTTTTACATAAAAGCATGTAACTTCTGGATTGGTCAAAGTCTCTTCTATAACCATTTACAGGGCAAATAAATCTAAAACGGGTAAAAATAAGTGTCAACAAGAGAAGAACTTGGCAGCCTCTTTCAAGTAACACCAGGGAACATTTGCAGACTGTGATGGAATCAGTAATAATGTGAGTATAAACTCTTTCAGTTTTACTCTTGGTTCCTACATATATGTTTGCCATATACATCGTTCTAAAGATTAATATATAGAGAAAATAGAGCAATTTCCTGTATTAAAAGCTGCATTCCTAGTGTTGCGATAGCATTAGCCATCAGTTAAAAAAAAGTTTTAATGGGTTCTAAAATCTTGGGATCCCATTAGTAAAACAGAAATGAAGTCTAGATGGCCTGATATGTCCATACATTTTCACTTATTCTCTCAGCAGAATTTAATAAGCAGTTGAGTTCAAAGTGACACTTGCTGTGGCTCCTCTGTCCTTGAGGGAATGCCAGGTAAGTGAAGCACTGTTTGGCTGTACTTGTCAGGAGAGGCGAGCAGAGAAGCTAATCATTACTGTACAATAATCAAAGGAGAACTGCATTGTACATTTGTGTAAAATGTAGTTTAAAAAGAAAAGGAAAAGTGACTGACCACGGCAGCTGTGATGGGGAACATCTTGAGAAACCAGAGGGAAAAGGAAATACAGATCGTATTACTTGTCTTTTGGATTAATATTCAGTCATTTTTTTTTCTAGAGCAATTTTGAGTAAAAGCGTTAAAGACAAAGAGCAAATCCAATATCATCTCAACCTTCTGAAGAAAAGGTAATATAGTTATGAAATCTGGAATAGGTAAAACTTCATTCTACTTAAATAGACATTGATGAAATATAGAATTTTGTATGATGAACAATTTGGAAATATTTATTCTTTCATACCTAAACTATTGCTGCATATTTTTCTGGAATGAATTGTAGAGATGGTTACAGAAATACATGCATGTACTGTGTTTATATTTGAAAGGCATTTTCTCAACTACTTTAAATTTTCATTTTTCATTACTTTATCTGGTATTTTTGCATTGCTTCTTTTTCCTTCAGAGTCTGTTATTTGCAAATACAAGCAATAATTATTTTCTAAGCTGTCACGGCTTTTTGTCTTGTAGCACATCAATAGTAGAGTTTTCAAAGTTTTTATTTTTAATTTTTAATTAAATTTTAAAGAGCAGATCAGGTACAACTCTAAGAATATAATTTCTTTCTACCCCTCCCACTTCTTTCTCACCCATTTTCAAGTATATTTTAAAGAGAAAAGTACATATTTATTTGAAAGTTAGTATTACATAGACAGGGCACTTCTATTATCTGGTTCACTCCCTGAGGCCAGGGCTGGGCCAGCCAGGAGCCTGTTTGCCACAGGACAGTGCTCAGTGTCAGCTAGCCCATCTCAGGTCTCCCACAGGGGCAGGTACATTTGTCTGACCCAGGAAGGTCCTCTGGTCTCAGCCTGCTAATTTATCTTCAAGTGCAGTGGCCCAGTCTGTGGAAGTCCCCACGGAGGTCCCGGAAGTCAGTCCTCACCTGTGATGCATTCCTTCAGCAGTCCCCCCACCACACATCCCGAAACCTCCTTCTCTGGGCAATCCACAGTCCCCACACCCCGAATGCACATGGGTCCCTGGTCCTGGTCTCTTTTCCACATATCTTGGAAAAAAAAAAAAGAAGAAAGAAAAGAATATACAACTATCCTGACATACTCGAATCATTAATACATAAGGTTGACATTAATCAGGCCCAGAATGCCCACGAGCTACTGGCTGCTGTTCTCCCAGCAGTGTAACACTTGTTGAGGTACAAGCAACCTGGGGACTATCTTGAATATAACTTACCAATATTATGTTTTCAAAGATTTTGATAATGCTTTAGAACAAAATTTCAGTCGTAGCATTTTATATACCCTAAACTTGGTTTTCTTTGATATTATGTCAAGTAACTAATGAAAATTCTTGGTTGTATTCTTTTTTAAAAACAATTTCTTTATTGTTATTTCAAAAATAGATTTACAGAGAAGGAAAGACAGAGAAGAGATCTTCCTAAATGACACAATGACCATTGCTAAGCCAATCTGAAGCCAGGAGTTTTCTTTAGGTCTGCCATGTGCAGGGACATAAGGTACAGGGGGCCTTAGGACCAAACCATCCTCTGCTGCTTTCCTAGTCCGTAAGCAGGGACCTGGATTGGAAGTGCGCCAGCCAAGATATGAACCAGTGGCCATATGGGATGCTCACACTGTAAGCAGAGGATTAGCCTTCTATGCCACCACACCAGACCTCGCTTTCTTTTAAATGAGATTCGAAGTTCAGGGTCCATAATTAAGACTTTATTACTCAACAATGCATAATACATTATAGATTTATATACTATAGCATTTAAGAATTATATTTGGATGATATAAGACATTTAAATTTACAATGTATACAAATAAATTATTAAATTAGAAATTGTTAGTAAAACAGCCTCCGTGCCCTATGGTGTGGGGAGCGGGGTGCTAAAGCCGCTCCTGGGATTGGGAAGGGCCGTTGTATGATGGCAGCTGGCCCACGGCCAGGAGGTGGAGTTGGTCTTGCCAGCAGGTAAACAGGAAGTCAGAGGGATGGGCTAATGCCCCGCTGTGATTATGTCATTACTACTGGCCTTACAGATAGCGCCAAGTGGACCCACAGGGAGCAATGATTGGTGGAGAACAATGTAAAAGTAGCTGGTAAAAGCTAGGCAGACGACAACCACGGACGGACTAGAACAGACGCTGCTGGGCAGCAGCGACACTTTGGTTTTAAATATGTGTGAATGAAAAGAATATTTAACTGATGATCTATTAAAAAATCAGATGGTTAACAGTTATCACTGTTAGGAAAAAATAAATAATGTATCCCTTAGAAATAATGACAACTTGTTAGAAAACTTAGAAAAAGAATATTGATAAAACTCAGAATAATCATGTTTAGGAGCTGGCATTGCAGCGCAGTGGGGTAAGCCACTGTTTGCAGTGTTGGTGTCCTCTATCAGCACTAGTTCAGGTCATGGGCCGCTCCCTGCTAACGCTCCTAGAACGATGACCCCAAATAGTTAGGCCCCTGTCAGCAGCATAAGAAACACACATGGAGTTCTGGGCTCTTGGCCTGTCCCATGCCCAGCCTTGTGGCCATTTGCAAAGTAAACCAGCAGATGGAAGATGTCTTTCTCTGGCACTTTCTTTCTCTCATTCTGCCTGTAAAATAAGTAAATAAATATTTTTTAAAACAATGTCCATATTATATGCTCAAGGTTGCTACGCCTGTATGAAACTCTCAAAGCCCCTTCCAAAAAGCTGAAAGATCTCACCAATGTGCCGAATCTGCTGAAAATGGAAAGAGCACGGGAAAAAGTAAATGAAGACGGTCTGACATCACTGCAGGTATCAATTCAAGAAAGAACCTATAATGAGAGGGTTTAGGGACAAGGGAAAGGGGTTATAGTGCCTTTAAAATTAGCATAATAGTCTCTCTAGTAATGAATAGTAATGCTTGGGCAAAAGCTTTCATTTTATTCTTTTGTTGTTGTTTAATCATAGTCAAAACTGTAGCTGATTTTTATAGCTCTGAAACTGAAGTATTCCTAATATTTGTTGTTAAATAATCGGAATTGTTTCACCAGGCTCATTACTTTAACTGTGTTAATACTTTTAATTAACAGAGTATACGAAATGCTCACCAAATCTTTGAAATTTCAAAACATGTATCACATATGACAAAAAATCTAATCACCTATGTCATTGTGACAGCGAATGAGCAGTGAGTACCTTTAACCGTTGCACTGTATCGTTACATCCGTTAGTTCCCACAGAGGCTTGAAGGGTGTAACCTAAATAATCCTCATTTTGCAAATTGGGTAAAAAGAGTGCAGAAATTTATAACTGAGCTTTTCAAACTGCTTAAAGGGAAGATGTAAACCTTGTCAGGCTGACTTCAGCACATGATTTTTAGCTTTGATATGTTTCATCCTAACAGGAAATAACATTCGCTGTCATCAATAATCCCCAGCATTTAATTAGTAGATATCTAAACAACTTTAATGACTTACCAAATAATTAAGACTAGAGAAAAAAGAAGGACCCAGCGCAATAGCCTAGGAGCTAAAGGCCTCGCCTTGAAAGTGCCAGGACCCCTTATGGTCGCCAGTTCTAATCCTGGCAGGCCCACTTCCCATCCAGCTCCCTGCTGGTGGTATAGGAAAGCAGTCGAGGTCAGCCCAAAGCCTTGGGACTCGGAAGAGCTCCTGACTCCTGGCTCCTGATGGGTTTAGCTCTGGCCATTGCGGCCACTTGGGGAGTAAACCAGCAGACGGAAGATCTTTCCTCTTTGTCTCGCTTCCTTTTTATATAACTGACTTTCTAATAAAATAAATAAATCTTTAAAAGAAAAAAAATTAGGCCTTATGTATCCTTTACACTATTTGAAGTAGTTTGTAGATGTGGTACTTAAATATTTACTAACAATTCAGTAAATTTCAGGTAGTTTATATAAGGAATGTATCACCAAGAATTTTTAGTAATTCAAAATTCACAAATAATGTACTTCAGTTCTTCCATGGGATTGAAAATAAAATTGAAGAAACAAGTATCTAGAAAACAAATCTACATATATTGTCAGTTAATGGGGATGCATTTAAGAGGAATTGAGGGGCCCGATGCAATGGCTCAGTAGGTAAATCCCTGCCTTGCATGCACTGGAGTCCCACTCGGGCATCAGTTCATTTTCCAGCTGCACTGTTTCCCATCCAGCTCCCTTCTTGCAGCCTGGGAAACAGTAGAGGATGGCTCAAAGCCTTGGGACCCTGCACCCGCATGGGAGACCTGGAAGAAGCTCCTTGCTCCTTACTCTGGGATCTGCTCTGCTCTGGCCAATTAGGGAGTGAACCAATGGATGGAGGATCTTCCTCTCTGCCTCTCCTTCTCTCTGAATCTGATCTGCCTTTGCAATTAAGATAAATAAATCTTTAAAACAAACCAAAAAAAAAATGAATGAAGGAAAAACACGTATAAAAGATTTTGGCAAAGAAGATAGAACATACAAGAAGTAGCATTATTGAAGGAAGATAACTAAAGCTGTGCTTCCAGGTCAGCCTTTTAAATTACACTGAAGAAAAGAATTCTTACTGTACTTAGCTCATCATTCAGTGCTATTATTCATTACCTTGTTTAGCTCGTTCAAGTATAACCCCCGATAGAGTATCTCTATGGTCCTTTGGAGCCCATGAGTGTGACTTCACTGGAAGACTTTCTGGATGAGATTTCCTTGGATTATTATGTATGAGTGCTAAATCCAGTAGCAAGTGGTTTTTTTTTTTTTATAAGAGGCAAGAGCAGGCACAGGAAGTAGAGAGAAACCCTGTGGTGACGAAGGCAAATACTGGGCAGGAGGATGCAGTCAGATGCTGTAAGAGACCAGAAACATTCTGCTCTGATCTTCAGAGGGCTCAAAGCCCTTACAACGCGTTGATTTAGGACTTCTGCCCTCCAGAACTGTGACAACAATTTTGAGGACATAGTGTTAACAGTAGCCACAATAAACTAATAGATGTGATTACTTTATATTAGCACCCTTTAGATGCCATGACCAGTCCACAGAAACATAGGGATAAATGTCACCAAGAAATACAAAATTCATTTTGTGAAAAATTCCACAAAGCACAATATCCAATCCCCTCAAAAAATAAATTGTAATAAGCAGCAAAAAACAGTTGCGACCAATAAATGAAGAGACTTAAAATTAGACACATGAAAATTATATCAACTCAAAAAAAAATTCACATTTAAGATAAACAATAAGGTAAAGAGATTTCAACAGAATGAGAAGAAAGACCTGTAAGCTATTTAGAAAGAAAGGATTAATATACAAAATACATTAACTCAGAAAGCCCAAAAACAAGATAATGACCAGTCCAGTTGAAAAATGGGCAAAGTACTTGAATAAACGGTCCTCAAAAGAATAAATACAAATTATTTAAAAATTTTTCAACATCACTAGCCATCAGGGAAATGCAAATGAAACCCACAGTGAACTGATCTATCAAGCAGAGACCTGCTCCACCATGTTTGTAGCCACACTTTCCACAATAGCCAAAATAAGGACTCAACCAAAGTGTCAGTCATCAGACGCATGGCTAAAGACATTGTACCATATATGCACAACACAATGCTGACTGTTCAGCTGTTGGCAAAGGGTGGAATCTTATCATTTGCAATGTTGAGTGAAATAAGCCAAGATTGGAGCATAAACACCATATATTCTTTCTTATATATGGAAGTTAAACTAAAAAAAAAAAAAAAATCGGGCCCAGCGCAGTGGCGCAAGTGGTTAAGGTCCTCGCCTTGCATGCCCGGGATCCCATATAGGCACCGGTTCTAATCCCTGGCAGCCCCACTTCCCATCCAGCCCCCTGCTTGTGGCCTGGGAAAGCAGTCGAGGACGGCCCAAAACTTTTGGACCCTGCACCTGCGTGGGAGACCCGGAAGAGGTTCCTGGCTTTGGATTGGCATAGCATTGGCCATTGCACTCACTTGGGGAGTGAATCATCGGACGGAAGATCTTCCTCTCTGTCTCTCCTCTCTGTATATCCGCCTTTCCAATAAAAATAAAATAAATCTTAAAAAAAAAAATCAAGACAGAATGCTTGATTAATAGAGAGTAGAAGGATAAAGGAATTTAGATTAAAAAACAAAAGGGTAACTGAGGAATTCATGAACAACTGAAAAGTTCTTAGCTTGAGAGTTCTCTCTGCTATACCAACTTCATGGTTCTTAGGGAAGGCTGCTATTTGCTGCTGTCAGTCCTCGGGCTGGGCAGTGGTCACTTTGGGCTGTTCAGAATCTCATCCTGGCAGCTGTGGGAAGTGTTTAAGGAAACATTCATGAACATGGGATATATATATTTTTTTATTTCAAAATTTATATTTTTTCCTTGTAATGAATTATATCAGAAAAGCAGCTTGCTACCAAGTCTTTTTCCTAAGAGAAAAAAATAAAGTCATAAAATTCTTTCAAAAAGTTCTGTAGTATCCAAGATACATAAAATGCATGTAGATAGTAACATATGTTAGGAATATATATATATATATATATTGAAATTTTTTAACGTTTTTTGTTTGTTTCCATCCAATTCAGGAAGAAATAGATAAAATAGTAGAGAATGCAGAGATGATGACGGGGAATATTCAGAGCCTGAAGAAAAAAATTCAGATTCTAGCAAATGAAGTGGAAGAAGAGGAGCAGAAGGTAAAACATTTTTAATTGTTAGAAAAGGATATGGGTAACATTTGGGTATCATTTTTAGTATCTAAATTTTGCCCAAATCACTTGTGTGCATGCGTGAGATGAGAGACACAAGCCTTTTGAAATCATCTTTAGCTTTCTTTTTTACTTTAGATGCTTCAAATGGGTGCTAGTGAGGTACTCTCGCTTCCACAACTGCCTCAGGACAGCCTTAAAGCACCTACACTCCAGGTAAGTACCCATTTCCCATTGTCACTGTATCCCTAGGTAGGCCTGGATAAGCATACTAGGTTTTCTCACTAGCTGTGTGACATTTGATTACATGCATATATAATACTGTAATTTGTAAGTTGCTGATACAAATCACTTTTATATTATGGATAATGCAGGGCATACCCTAATACATATCTCTGTATTTGTTACTCCTGCCTGTAGAATACTTCTGGAAGTGAATTTCGGTGCTTGTATTTATTTATATTCCTAACAGTGGCATATAGCTCTTTATAAAATAGCACTGAATTATTTGTCATACATTCCACTGCGATCATTTTTCTTTCTCTTTAAAAAAATTCCAGTACATAGTATAATATAAATGTTTTTAGCAGTAGAAAGTCTTCATACTTTCCCAAAAAGCATTGCAGAATTTTCCTACCTGTAATCCAGCAGTGCTGAAAAGAGCAGACGAAGGACAGGGAAGGACAGCTTGGCAGAGAGAGTGACTGGGCTGGCACTTGGCTGTAGCACAGAGGGTTGCTGCTTGTGACACTGGCATCCCCTCTGAGCACTGGCTCGAGACTAGCTGCTCCACTTCTGATCCAGCCGCACGCTAATGCACCTGCGCAAACAGCAGAATACGGCCCAGGTGCTTGGGCCTCTACCCACACAGGACACCCGAATGACCCCGCAGCTGCTGGCATAACCCTTGGTCAGCCCCAGCCACCTTGGCCATGTAAGGAGTGAACCAGCAGGTGGAAGATGTCCTCTGCCTTTCCCTTTCTTTCTGTAACTCTGTCCTTCAGATAAATAAATCTTTTAATAAAGGAAGGAAAGAAGGGGAGGGAGGGTGGAAAACAATGAATGTTGAGTTGATCATGACTGAAGTTGAGTGATACATACTTGAGATTACTATACCATTCTCTCTAATGTTGATTTAATAACACATTAAAACTGATTATACTCTCTTACCCACAGAAAGAAATTCTGACATTAATTCCAAACCAGGCTGCTCTCCTGAAGGATTTGCATGTTCTTCATCATTCGTCCCAGGTGAAGAACACGCTAACGTTCATCGAGGAATCCTATAAGAAACTAGATGCCTCTTAGAAAGAACTTTTTAATATTGGTCTGTATTTTAGGTTTTTATATTTGAAGTTGTTAGCATATGATCATATTACAAGGATAAAACTTAATATCTACTAATATGCACTTTAAAATTATCCTCCGGGAACAAGTGTTTGTCTTAGTGGTAAAAACCGTTGTGCCCCGCACTTCAGTGCCTGTGCTCAGGTAGCAGATGCGGTTACTGGAATTCCTTCTCCAACGTCCCAGCCGCCGCTGTGGGAAGCACCCTTAAGACTCAAGTGACCGAGCTCCGGCCCTCTCCGGATGGCTGTGATTGTGTTCCGGGCCTAGAGTTTGGCCCAGACCCTTTCCTGACCTTTACAGACATCTGGAGACTCAAGCAATCAGTCTTCTCAAATAAATAACATTTTTAAAAATAAATGAAAAATTATAATTGTAGTATAGCCCTAGAAAATGTGTTGTCAGCAATTGCTAATCCTGGAGGTCAGTATTTATATGCCTGTACTTATTTGCTTAAAGCCGTAAATGAAACGTAGTTATGTTAATTTTTGTTTGGAATGCATCTGTTGGTGAGCACAGAGGACTTATAATCGGATTTAATGTATATAAAGTATTTATATTAGATGCCTAGTGAATAAAAGCACAGTGTTTGTTTTCACTCATTCTATAACTTACATTTTCATTCTGGTCATCCAGAAGGTGAGACATCCTCAAATGCCTTCACCGTTTCCTAACTCCCTCGTCTTTGTGATTATGTCATGGTTATTTTTGCTTGTAAAATTAATAAAAGAACTGCAATTTTTACTGTAATTTTCCTGATGTAACTTATGTTGTCAGTTAATTTAGAAGTGCCATGATTGCATTAGTACTCAGCACATCAGACAGAGACCATCAGACACACCCCTGCAGTTAAACAAGGAACATTGAAAGCTTATCGTAATGGCGGAGACCACACGTCACGGGGACTTTTAAGCATTTCAGATCCAGGGTCAAGAGCAGTATCCTCTTAGGAAATAACATCAAGGAATATCTTAGTAGATGTGAGGGGTAATCCAAGTCAAGAAAATTAGGCATGGTAAAATAAGTGAAACTAACAGATACTAGAAAATGTGTTGAAAACCCTTCCCTGGGAAATTTAAAGCTTCCATGTTTCTAGGGTGAATAGTCAAATCCTAGCTCATTATTCTAAGCTTAATGATGACATTTATAGTAACTTGGTCTGAAGGAAGGATTTACATTGTATGTTTTGTATCCCTCAGAACCTCAGTTTAACAGGTTACGGAAAGTCAACCAAAATTTTTGTTTGCTGTTGCTGCCTTATATGAACTGGTCATGCTGGCCTCGTATGTATGATCTAACTTTGAGGAATCTATAGTGTTTTCTTTAAAGGTGACATTTTGATTGACTCTTTGGGGGTTGATTTAGGGTTAATTACAGAAAAAAATGTCTTAATGTCTTATTTTTTGTTTCTGATGATGTTTACATAGTTGACCTGGGTGGGAGGGGACAAGGACTAGAAGAGAGTGGGTGAGACCATTGTTTCAGAATTTTCCTTTTCTCCCTCCTGCCTCAGGGGAAGTGGGGAAATAAGGGAAAAGCTACACCCAGCCTCCCAACTACCCCAGTATCCAGGGATAGGGAATGGCTTCCCCCAGTGTCATCCAAGGGTCCCCAATGTGGAGCATGCTCTGAGAGTTCTGCTCAGGTGGTTTTGATGTTATGAAATGCTGTTGATCGCACCGATCCAAGGATGAGGAAATCTTTCTGAGGTCAATTTGCTGTCAAGGACATCACAAAAGCCTTGTGACCCTGCACCCATGTGTGAAACCATGAAGAATCTCCTGGCTCCTGGCTTCAATTTGGCTCAGCTCCAGCCATTGCCATCACTTGGGGAGTGAAGTGGCAGATAGAAGATCTTTCTATCTCCTTTCTGCAAATCTAACTTTCCAAAATAAATTGTTTAATAAAAATTTTTAAGATAATAGAATTTTCAAAATATCTATGCCATACTAAAGACAATATAGAATGGAAAATACTATATATATATAAAATAAGCAATTTCCTATTAATGAAGGGTCCTAGGAATATCAACCAATAACAGAATGATAATTCTCAAAGGAATATTTATAAATGATCAATAAGGTATTTAAAATATTACCAACCCTGTAGTAATCACATATGCGAACTAAAGTAATGATATGTTTTCACCTATCAGAGTCACAAAGATTGAGTAAAAATTTAAACTAGGTGTTAGATTTGTGGCACGATGTTAAAGCACCCTTGTGACACTGGCATCTCATATGGGTGTAGTTCTTTGTCCAGGCTGCTCCACTTCTGTTCCAGCTACCTTTTGGTGACCAGGGAAAGCAAAGTAAGTTAGACCAAGTGTGTGTGAGTCCCCGCCACCTGTGTGAGAGAACCAGATGAAGATTCTAGCTCCTGGCTTTGAACTGCCACTGCCCCAGTTTGTGGCCAAATGGAGAGTGACTATCAGATGCAAGATTTTTCTGCCTGTCTCTATAACTCTTGACCGAAAATACATCAGTCCTAGTAACAATAATGATAAAAGGGAAAATTGCTGAATGTATTTTAAAAATGGGTGTAGGGTAATCCTGAAGGAAGGGAAATGATATGATGAGACATTGTATTAGGTATTCATTGCAGAGCTTAGTGTAATGTCACCTAAAGCTCTTTATGTATGAGCCTTTTATTTTCTCCAATTCATATGTGTTTAACAAATGAATTTTGTTTAAATATGAGCCACCTCCATTGGATCCTATAATTAAGGGATTTGCTTTATTTCCTGGTTTGGATAGAATTTCTTCACATTCTTTGCTTACCAAAAGTATGCAGTTGCACCTGTCAAAATTAGTATTTGGTTTGTTCACTTTGGTTTGGTTTCTAAGCACAAGCCTTCTAAATCCTCTCATGTTTCACTCATCAAATAAGATTCAGCTTTGAGAAAGAAAAAGGAACTACGAAAAGCAAAAGCACAGAGAAATTCCGATTTCTTTGTTGAGTTTTAACCTGTCTTAAAATGGGCATTTTTGTGTGTTTTTCTTAAGAGTTGTGACCAGTATATATGCTTCTTTGCTACGAAGGCATCATAGAACTACTTTTCTTAGCCTTGCTTCTTATTACCTCATTACAGTGATCTCTGCTGTAAAGTTTCTGTAGTAAACTTATCAAAGATTGGTTAGAAGTGGCCTAAGATGTAGTTGTTAAGATTGAACAAAGAGGAATATGAAGAAGAGATATTATTATCCCAAGACAGACTCAGGTATTGTGTTGCATGCTGAGATGCCCAAGTAAATACCTACACGGTTGTTGATATTACAGTCATTTAAGGGAAGTGAATAAATTCTGAATAAATTCTAAATAAGATCAAGTGTGTATGAAAGAAGAAATTGAGATTCTCATAATGGTTCCAAATTCTTCAGGTAACCTCTTTAGACGTTAGACCCTTTCTAAAGCCTTGGGAATTTAGGACACCAAAATAATTTCCTTCAGAATAGATAGGCAAGAATACATCAGACCTCAACGTTTCTATCTTATTTTGTTATAGTACTCCGTATTTACCTGGTACTTCCATGCCTTTTTATTCCCTTGCATGAGATCCTGGTGAATAATCGCTCTGTGTGTGTGTGCAGAAAGTGTGATTCTCTAAATAAAGAAGAGGATTAACTGAGTTTTCCACCATAACCTAAATGAGACAGAAGAGACAGGAATAAATTACCTGTGCTGTGATTGGATTTTTCACCCAACCGATATCATAAACCCCTCCCCATCCACAGGTGTGGGCATTTTTTTCTCTCTCTCTTTCTCCCTACTCATTTCACTAAGGACTAATTAGGGAAGTAGCCTAGAAGTATAAATTTACCATTTATACAACAGGAGCTTTGCACACTAGTGCACAACTAAAGGACCTTGGCTTCAGACTGCAATCTCAACATCAGGTAAGCATTTTTTATTAAAATGATAAAATCAAGTTATGGATTTAGTTTATAATCACAGGAAATAATACAGAAATAGGTAAAATTTACCATCTATAGAAAGAATAAATTACATTTGATTTAATTACATTTAAGATTAGAGGATAAATGTGTTATTTGGGTGTGGTTTTGTTTTTGTTGGGGGTTTTTTAAAAACATTTCAGACTGGCTTCTTATTATTTTAAACTTAACAAAACAACAATTTTGAGGTAGTAACATAGCAAATTATATAGCCTTCCACTCATTTTACCTGTTAACATCTGGTATTGTAATGTTTATCACAAACAATGAACTGTCCCCGGTTTTGCCTATTTTTTATCCAAATTCCTTTCATGCCTCCCACCCTTACCAGCCTCTACTAATCAACATCTTATATTCAAATTTTGCTCTTTAAGAAAAATAAATAATACACAATATTAGATTATTTTCATTGTGATGGGAGCACAGCCAAAGCTTTGGAGGGTAAACTCTAAACAAAGAAGCTGACAGTTTGAAAACTAATTCTAAGTATTGATTGGAAATATTTATTTCTTTCTTCCTTAACAAATGCTCATGACTGTATTTTAAATGGCACACTACACCACGAAAACAGATCTTTTATTTGTAAGAATTAAAACTTTCTCGAGGAGGAAAGATCATGCTTCCATTGTATTATTAATAGAATATGTTAGGTGCTTGCTCTGTGCTGTTGAATACTCAAATATCCCAAAGAAATGTTGGTTTTTATATCACCTCTTTCCTTTTCTTGACAAACACATTTGACAACAGTTTGGTTAAGGGAGTTGCAAACCTTTTCCATTCAGTTCTAGAACTGCATTCTGATCATGAGGAATCTAATTGAGAGCTAAGGATGTGACATTATGACCGTGTAACTGTCAGTGATAATTGCTATTATTATGACTTTCTAACATAATTTAGAATATATAAAGTATTTTCTACCTCTGAGAATTTCTGCATCCTCTTTTGTGACATTTAAAGACACTCATATGACCACAGAAAATTTGACAAGTTTGTGTTAATTTGTCAAACGTTGAGTGTTAATTATAGCGTTCTTTCTGTGCGAAACCATGGGAGGGACACATTTTTGATTTTGTCATGCTGACTCATTTTTTTGTATGTTAGTCTAGAAAGATACACTGTTGTCTGATCAAAAAGGGTTTGTTCCATTAAGAAACTGGACAACAAAGCTTTAGCGGTGACACAGTGGAAAGTAAATAAAAGCGAAGAGAAATCACGTTTGTTTTTTCTGTTAACTATTAGAAAACTTGAATCAAAAGTGGGTTTTTTCCCTACTTCAAATATAGTAGATTGTCACCGTTTGTAGTACTCACGCTCAATAAAGTCACACCAAACATTGATTTTGCCAGTATGGAAACATCACACCATGTGGAAATACAAAACTGGATTTCCATAAACCTTTGATTTCATCAAAACCTGAATCCATAATCTAGCTTTTTGGGAGTGTTTTACATAAAAGCACAATATATTCTGTTGAATAATTGTTGCTGAACTCATGACAATAGCAACTTAACTCACACCTACTATACCTAACACATGTATTTTCTCCTTAAGACACATCAAGGCTTTATTGTGTTTAGAAGCAATAAAACAGTAATTAGACCCTAGCTTGGGAGAGTCATTCTAACCAGCAAAATCACTGGCCAAAACAACAAAAATGCAAAAAATAGACCATATAAAGTACGCTAAAGTATTTACAATGTAAGAACTGAAGTAAGAAAAACCATAACGAATGCCCTGTTAAAACTCAACTGAAAATGTGTGTTGGGAGAAAATGCGTGCTGGGAGAGTCCTGTGTTTCGCTGCTCTGCACATATCTGCAAGTGACTACCAAAGCATTGCAGGTACTGATTTGATGGTTACAAATTTGATGGCTACAATTTTAGCAAGAAGGTGAATTGTCAACTATGGAATCCAAGAATAAGGAAAAGCAACCATTTATGGTAGTCTATTCCATTTGTTTTGCATGGTAATTTCATTTTTTACTCTGAATTTATTTTATATCTGTGTTTTTACTGTTACTTGGATATTAGCTTTAGCTTGTTCTTCCTATCATGATACATTTTATCTATTTTCATAATAGTGTTGTGCCTTTTAGAAAACAAACTAGGTAATAAATAAGCAAATCATCAATTCTTTGTTATTCCTATATTTGCATTAGCTGCTTTACAATATATTATATTATAAAACATCTTCTATACATCAAACCTAATAGAGATTTATGATCAACTGCTCTTTGAAACAATTTTATTTCAGAATGGATTTAATAAGAGTATCTAGTAAAAGGGATAATATTTTTATCTAGAGATTACTCAAATGAGTGAAAAAAAATCAAACAATACTAAAATAAAGAGATGATAGCTAATCTTCCCCTTTCTTTGCTCATCTTAAAATCTGGAAACTTACTCTTTTCAAAGTTTGTTACATTGCCTTCACTGTGAATATGAGGATTTTTTTTTTTCTTACACATCTAGTGCTGCCCTGGTTCTTCGCATCTCTTCTGATTTCTGCAGAGAACACAACACCTCAGTTGAACTGCTCAGTGAACTAGTTCCCACAAGACTCGATTGAACCTCCTAAGATTCATATTCACAAAAACTTCAAGATAGTTTTGCTGTGGTTTTTAAGTAGATCACAAGCAAACACTTGAGTGCTTTACAATCACACAGATAAACCACGAAGAGAGAGATCAAGTAGCTTTCTCTGGCAGAAACTGCAGTAAAGGAATAATTCCCAAAACATCACGTTCTCATGTCTGAGTTAAGTTAACCTCCCTAGTGCCAACTGCCAAGAGGTGTCTATCGCTCCACGAAGCTGAAGGTCGGGGTTATTTGTTTGTTTATTTGTTTGTTTATTTATTTTTGGCCCATATAAATCAGCCAAGTCCTGATTGGAACTGGAGGGAAAGGTTTTCTTGAGAACAGCACTTCAGGGGAAGTAGAGACTTTACTATCTAGAAAATGTAAATGTACGAGAATAGATGTGCCTGTATGAATCATGTTTATGTCTTTTCTCTTTTCAATGTTACGCGGAATGAGACTGCCCGCTCAGACTCTTGATCTTCTATCCAGGTGTATACCTAGAGGCTGTGCCATGTAACCACCTGCGTTTCTCAAGTGTTTTTTTTTTTTCCCCAGTCTTTGCCCCTCCTTATTTGGGGGGATTTTCCTCATTTAGCCGATCCCATCATTTTTACCCTGAGCTTCATATTAGCTGTTCGACCATTTAGAATGTCCCTGCCATGCACCAGGCCCTGTAGGAGGCGCTGTTGACACAGTAAAACAAACAAACAAAAAAAAACACATAAAGGCTAGGTTCTGGCAGCTCAGTGGCTACCTAAAACAGATTCAGGTCAAAGAAAGAACAGATAAATGTAAAATTAGAACTGTTCTAAGTGCCCTGAAGGAAGAGTTGAACACAATTATATCACTGCCTCTCGGTTTCCAATGTATTGGGTTGCCCACTGAATTACACCCAATGACAACAATGATATTCCTAAGTTAACATGAATGTTAACAGGCAGAAATTTAATGTGCACTCCAAATTTCTAATTAGGTGTGGCATTGCAAGAGTTCTGGAGAAGATGTTGGTGTTAAATTGTTCTGCCAAGTTGATGATACTGGAGAAGATGTTGAAGAGTCATTTTCCTGAGTCACTCAAGGTACCATGACCCTAAGAACATCATTCAATTTCTTTATTGTACCAATAATGTGACATAATGTCAGGCTTGTGGTTGCTTCCATGTTTTTTTCTGATCAGACTATGGACACTTTTTAAACTCACAGCTTCCCAACTGTCCCTGCTAGAGACGAATTCAGTAGAATGGAAATAAGGCCCAGGGAACTGTAATTTTTACAGTCACACTAGATGACACCTAGACAAATTTAAGCAATGCTTATTTCTGAAACAAATTCAACTTTTAAGATGTTTAAAGTGGCAGATGATAAAATTAAGATGTTTTGCAATTTAAAAGTGAAATCTAGGGACACAATAGAATTGAAGTTCAGGTTTTTATTTTATTATTATTTTATTTTATTTTATTTTTGGTCAAGGGAGAGTGAAAAAATTATTTAAAATTCACAGTTGTACAGAGAGAGAACTATTCCATGCACTCCCAGATGATTGCAATGACTAACACCGTGCCAGACTGAAGCCAGGAGCTTCTTTAGGGTCTCCCCTGTGGCTGACAGGACACAAACACTTGAGCTGCCTCCCACTGCTTCTAGCCGACCATCAGCAGGAACAGGATCAGAAGTGGAGTGCCGGGGACTCCAACTGGCTCTCCTATGCGATGCCGGAGACCCAGATCCAGCCTTTACCTCTGTGCCACAATACTAGCCCTGAGGAGTTTTTATAAAATTATGTTTCCATTTATTTCAAAATCTTTTTTGAAATTTTGTGAATGACTCTATTCATTAAAAAGCCTCCATCTGTTCTAAAATTCAGAAGGGCCAACTGATAACACTACTATGGAAGATGTCACTAATCAAATATTATAATAAATGTAAAATTGAAATATAATAACTTAGCTGGGGGAGAAATTACAGAATCCAATAAAATTACTCCTAAGCATTGAGTTTCCTTAGCAGAGCCACAGTGCTATAATGGTGTTTTCCCGTGATAGTGAAATGTAAATATCCCAGGAGAAAAACCATCAGAATTTGTAAAGATAGGAATCAGGGGGCCCAGCGAGGTAGCCTAGTGGCTAAATCCTCTCCTTGAATGCACTTGGATTCCCATATGGGTGCTGGTTTATGTCCTGACTTCTCACTTTCCATTCAGCCCCGTGCTTGAGGCCTGGGAAAGCAGTGGAGGACAGCTCAAAGCCTTGGGACCCTGAATAAGTTACCTAGAAGGAGCCATATAGTACAGTGCACTGTGGTGATCAAATATGGTCGTCTTGGCTTACTAACAGCACTTAAACTGTATACTATGAAAAAAAAAAAATCTGAGGGAGTCACTGTTGCAGAAGAATGGGTGAAGCTTCACCTTTCTGGTGCCAATTCGAGTCCTGGTTGCTCCACTCCCAATCCAGCTCCCTGCTAATGTGCCTGAGAAAGTAGTAAATTATAGAACCAATGCTTGGTCCCCTTGGAGCCACGCAGCAGTCCAGGATGAAGCTCCTGATTGCTAACGTTAGCCTAGCGCAGCCCCGCCGTGGAGGCCATGTGGGAACAGGAATCAGTGAATGGGAGATATTTCTACCTCTCTTGTTTATGTATCTCTGCCTTTCAAAATAATTTTTAATATTAAAAATCTGAATGTTATTCAGTGTTTAAAATGGCACTAAATCAACCATATGACCCAAATTTTCCATTTTGAATATTAACACTGAGGTGGATTAATGGAATAAGAGGCTTCTTTGCTTTAATAATATGTCTAAGTAATTCTGCAAGAGATAGCTGAAAATATTTCTCATTAGCAGGCACAGGGATCCATTCATTCAAGGTATCACCAAATGATAAGCCTCGAACAGGAGTTTCTCAAAGGAAGGCTGTATTTGCTTGTGACAAGCAAAGGAGACAAGGGGAAGATATTTTCCTAAAGAAGATGCCTCTCCAAGAAGTAGTTTGCCATGGCTTTTGTAGCAAGAGTTGGTGGAATGTCCAGTACATAGAAAGGGGGAGAGGGATGTCTCTCTCTCCTTGAGCAATTTTTATGCTGAAAAATATGTCTGTTGTACTTCTGGGGGAAAAGAAATCAAATGAGTAAAGTGCTTTGTATTCTGTGCTCACGCTCCTGCTCCTGAGCCTAAATCCTGTATTCTGTGTTCGCCTGTCCTCCTTTCTTTGGAGTTGATAACTATATTTTGTAACTGGTTCAGTGTTTAAGTGATCAAATGTTCCAATCTGCTGACCTGCCCTGGATTTTCATTTCTCACTCCTCATTCAACGCTTACTCTTTGAATAAATAAGAATTGGGAAAGTTCCCTTTTTTAAATCAAAGCTAAATCTTTCAATTCATTCCAAATCTTACACAAATACATTATTTAATTAAATATTGAGTGTGTTCCCAAATGATTGAACACTCCAGTGAGATATGAGTCATTTTCTTAAAAGATGAATGTCTAATTTCCTCATTTGAAACCATTTTGATAAACATCACTTGGCCTCCTTATGGTAACAGCTAGAGAATGTAATGATTAACAGACAAGCTGAGCCCTTCCAGGTTACTTCAGTTCTTGGATTTACACTGAGTGTCATCCATGCTGCACACTGACGTCAGCCAAACTGTTTTAAAAGAAACATTCTGTGAGTGTTTGAGTGAGGTCATGGCTTGGTGAGATAAGAGCATTATGTAATGTTCAGACTGAAAAGAGGTGGGTGATAGAAGGTAGTAATACACTAAGTAAGTAGACTCCAACACCCTTAACATTTTTTTAAAGATTTCCATTGATGTCTAAACACATTCAAAAAATGTATGTGAAATAATCTGTTTGATGAATTTTCACAAATATATTCAGTACCTTTTCTTCTGATGCCATCTCTTCCCAGCCAAAATGCTCTTTTCTAATCAGTTTCCTGCTTTGCCAAAACTGATCGAAAGCCTGACTTCCAGACCATAATTTAGACTTACTTGTTGAAGGAAATATTAAAAAGTGTCCTCTTTGTATCTAGCTGCTTTTATTCATTTTCTTGTGTGTTCAGTGAGGTTCATAGAGATCCAGGTGCCTTTAGTTTGCTGGTTTGCATTGCAGTTTTATAATCCATTGTATGAATATACCACACTTTATTTAGTCATCCCACTGTTGGTATCCATATAGATTGTTTTCCATGTTTATTATAAAATTACTATGGGAGATGGTGCTGTGTTGTAGCATGCTAAACCTCAACCAGCAACACTGCCATCCCACGCAGTACCAGTTCAAGCCCTGAAATATTGCCTATATTTAAATTTAGTTCATAATTGAAGTAGTTGCACTGGGCAGGTTGTTTTCAGATAGAATTGTCAACTTCAAAAGCAGCTGAGCAACAAAGTTATCTGTAGAACTTTTTAAGTATGCATGAGCCTTAAATTCATACAGCTGTTTCTGGTTATTACTGCAAGTATTTATTGCCGGTCTAAGTATCAAGCAACCCCCTAATAAGCCTATCAATTTGGTAGCTTTTGCTGTTGTAATAAAAACATAAAAATGAAAAGCAGGTTTTTGTGTGGAGAGAATTTCATAAATCCCAATACACTTTCTAAAATAACAACAGCGGAATATGTAGATTCTATGTGAATGTGCTTGCGGTCTCCTCTCTCTGCTCTGATTGTATAGAAGGACAGGAACTAAGAAAGGTAAGAGGCAGCGGTGTGATTGGTTTTCTCTCTGGAATCCCTGGCTCAGGTGTTTGGAGCAGTGATGAACATAAACCGTGGGAATCCCTTTCAAAAGGAAGTGGTGCTGGATTCATGGCCAGATTTCAAGGTTGTCATCACTCGGAGACGGAAAGAGGTACAGTTTTGAAAAGAAATAAAACTGAGCATGAGCTGCATAGGGTATTTAGCCTGCAGTTAAGATGCAGATTGGAATGCTCATGTCCCACATTGGAGGGTCTGGTTCAATGACTGGCTCCAGTTTCCTATAAATGCATAGTGAAACCATAGCTGCATGCCTTGTTTTATTGTGCTACACATTTTATCATTGATTTCTCAATTTGACTGGCTTCATGGTGTCAGGGATTTGAAAGACCTGTAGCTGAAACAATAAAATATCTTCTTAGTCTTTCAAAAATCCCTAGAAGAAGCATGGGGCACACATGGCTGATATGTAGATACTTTTCGACTGAGTGAACGATTCTTTTGGATTCGTGACTTTAGTTAAATCAGTAAATATGAAACAAAGATGAAAAGTAAAACATCAACCTCATTATTCTTCTGAGACCAGAGATAAGTTCAAGAGATCAAAGAAGTGCTGTCCTGCCTGGGCACACTGGGAAGACTCTGAGAGTTCTGATTCTCAGAGGCAGATTCATTGAGCTGTATGTTTTTAGGTAAATAAAATAGTTTAAAATGTGAAATAGGGAACCATGTTTTGAACACTGGGTAAAGCCATCTCCTGTGATGCCAAGATCCTATATGAAGGCAGGTTCAAATCTTCTAAACCAGTTCCTTACTGATGACCTGGAAAAGCAGCAGATCATGGCTCAAGGGTTTGGGCTCCTACCAACCATATGGGAGACGCAGATCAAGCTTCTGGCTCCTGGCCTCAGCCCTAGCCACTGTGGGCTCTGGGAAGTGAACCAGCAGATGAAGGTTTCTTTCTGTCTCTCCCTCTGAATATCTGATTTCAAAAAAAAAAAAATCTTTTTAAATGTGAAATATCTTAAAACAGTTATTATCCTCAGAAAAAGGAATCAAGCAGAAGTGTAAGAATTTTCCTTCCTACCCTCACTACAATTTATTAGCCTCAGACTCACATGCTTGTTTTTAGGTAGCTGATATTGCTAACAGAAAATTAGGTATGCATGTCCAGCTAATAATATCCAATCTACCTAGAAGTTAGGTTATCCAGACAACATGTTTGTTTTTATGATTGTATCTTCTGTCCTAGGCTGAGGCGGATAATCTTGACCATTATACTAACGCCTACGCTGTGTTCTACAAGGATGCCATGGCTTACCGACAGCTCATAGAAGATCATGACGTTATTAATTGGGACCAAGTTTTTCAGATACAAGGTGAGATCAAGAGCAACTGCATACACTATCCAGTCACATGTTTCTCCTTTTTATCATGTACTAATGTGAAGTAGTGCCCAACACATGGCTTTAAACACAAGTACTGAATAAAGATTTATAGATAATGTAGTACAATTATAATAAACAAGTGGGATCTGAGTGAATTAAGTTTTGGATAAATCTTACCAGCAACAAGCTTACACTGCAGTGTTTTGGTTTTTTTGGGTTTTTTTTTTTTTTTTAAGATTTGTTTTTAATCTGAAGGCAACAAATTTACAGAGAGGAAAGATACAGAAGTTCTTCCACCTACTGGTTTACTCCCCAAATAGCTACAATGGCAGAACTGGTCCAAAGCTGGGAACCAGAAGCTTTCTGTGGGTCTCCCACATCGGTGCAGAGTCCCAAGGACTTGGGCCATCTCTGCTGTATTCTGAGGCCATAAGCTGGCAGTTGGTGGAACAGCTTAGAAACATATTGACATCAATATAGGATGTAGGCACCATGGATTAGCTTGTTAAGCCACAATGCTGGCACCCACCCCCTTCCAATTTTATAATGTACATTTTGCCAGCAAGCTGGAAAAGAGTCTATCAGTTTGGTTTGCTGTTGCAGTGAAATCTGTATTCCTACACTTCTACCCATATGGTAGATCACAGACTTTTAGAGCTATGAAATATGATTCTTCACTTCATAAGGTTCAAGATTAATCTGAGTAATCAAAAAATAAAGTAAAATCCATATGAGAAATTACAATATCTTACGGGATGGTCCTATCAAAAATTTCCAGAAAAAGAAGATGATAGGTCATCATAATGAGCATCATGATTGGAATTTGAAAATTCCCCAGAAGTTTTGAAACAAGGCAAGGAATACCTTAATATTCTACATATAAAGTAGTTGAAATAACATGGGTGATAATGATCTTATTAATGATACCCCATGTAAAAATACAACAAATTTACCTTCTTTTCAGATAAATGTTTGCAAATGCTTTCTCAAATAAAATGTCATGTTTCTAATTATGTCTTTATATAGGGCTTCAAAATGAATTATATGATGTTTCTAAGGCTGTTGCTGACTCAAAGCAGTTGGCTACAAAGCTAACTTCCTTTATGGCTGTCCATTTTTCTCCTGTTTCATCTCTGCCAGACACCCATTTTCTGTATGTATAACTGCATTCTGCACTTGAGGGTGGGATTTATAGCTATGAAAATATATAAAAAGTCATTGTGTGTCACTGAGCCTAAATTTGTGTTTAAGTGTGTGTGTGTGTGTGTGTGTGTGTGTGTGTGTGTGTGTGTGTGCATGTGTAGAGACACAGAATATCACAATTTTCTTCTCTGGACTTGGTTGCTTAATTTCCTTAAAAACAGTATCAGTATTTTCATCTATAATTAGAAATGAACTCAACATATCTGGATTTTCATAATCTATATAGAGAAAATTATTGCTTAGTATCCTGTTCCTTAATAATTCACTCTGCAAAAGCCCACAGTAGCCAGGGTTGGACCAAGAGCAAAATCTGGAGCCAGGGAACTCAATCCAACTCTCACAGAAGGGAGCAGAAAGCTGCACACTGCACCCATCACACAAGCCTCCTGCAGTCTGCATTGATGAGAAGGTAGGATCAGGAGCTGGAGCTGGCAACTAGACCCAATTACTCCAATGTGCAACATGGGCAATTTTTACCCCTGGTCTTAATACCTACTCCTTGTTTTTTAAACAACTGAAAAAAAAAATCTACAAATACTGAGAGAACAGTATAAAGAGCCTTCCATCATTATTTGGTGGATTTTTAAAAATTCATACCCTTATATGCTTTTTCTTCTGTCTCCTTGTGTATCTAAAAGGAAATGTTCCAGATATCATCCTTAAATATTTCAGGACTAGATAGTGTCACTAAAAGTTATGGGCTTTTTTTGGGGGGGCGGGGGGCAGGGAGAACACTGACTCATAAGACTCAGAAAATATAGTCATAGTGATTGCCATGGTTGATCACAACGAAACCATACAAAGTAAAACCAACACAAAGAAAAGATGGATTGGTCCAAAGAAAACTACTGAGGCTTTCAAAAGTGTTCTTCCTGTAGAGTCACACAGAATGTGCTTAACTTCTCAGATATTAATTATGACAACATATGTCAAATATTGGCTACCAGGGAAGTTCATTAGAGGCTCAATGTCCAAGATCTTTATCGAAGGCACCTTCTGCTTAGAACAAACTGGTTCCCTAGAATCCAAGAAAGAAAACAGGTGTACAATGTGAGCCACGTGATTTAAAGAGTTCAATCATGGTGAGACCAAGAGCTACTCCTGTCAGTCTGGAAACAGCAAGACTGTTCCAGGTCCAAGTTCCCAGACGCCATTCCAGGAACTTGCCATCATACCTTTCTAAGGATGATGACCTTACACCTATTATGTTAATTCTCTCTGCACAAGCCCTTAAAACTTTGTTGACAATATTTAGCATTCACATTTCCCAAATTGGCATAATGTTTTTAAGAGTTTGTTTTGAATAAGCATCCAAATATTGTCCACACTTTGGGATTGGTTAATATTTCTGAAGTTTGTTGTAACAAATCAGTTTCCCTTCATCTTTTTATTTATTTTTGTTGTTGTTGTTGTTGAAGAAGAATCCAGGCCACTATCCTTTTGAGCTTCCCACAGTCTGCTAACAGTTTTATCCCCAAGATCTAATCTAAAATGTTTCTCTTTCCCTAATCAGGACTTTTAAATTGAATTTTGTTGGTTATTTTTTCTATTTATTTAAAAAATTATTTGTATTTTGAATTGACACAAGCTATGTATGTGTGGTATAGATGATGCTATTTCAATACAGGTACATAATGTGTAATGACAAAATTGGGCAACTGATACTGTCATCTCTTTAAACACTTATTATCACCATGTGAAGTCTAATTTTAACCTGAATTGTTCTCTTTTGCAAAAGAAGGTGAGGCAATTTGGCTTTAATAACTGTCATTACTCAAATTTGTGAACTCTTAAATACCACTTCGTTTAGCTGCAAGGTCAAAGCATCCTGACACATTTCTGCCTGAGCCATCACTGCCCTTGCTTTAAAGTATGTTTTTGAAATGGGATTAAAAAATGCTATCAAACCAGTTATGTTTGTTTTTACCCTTGCTAAGTGGAGGGCTGACGAGCCCAATGCCAAAGCTGAGCTTATGCTAGAAATGTGAGCTCACGGCACACAGCTCAAAAGAAAAGAAAATGCAACTGAAAGTTTTATAAATTATATCCAGTGATGTAAGTCACTGAAGACGATCTTGTGAACTTGAAAACTTCAAGAAAACAAATTCTGAAGCGTTATCAGCCTTGTATGTTTTCTACTAAGTAATCTGAGTTTCTAGAAGTTGCAGCAATTCCCTTTTTATCTTAATAACTGATTTTATACAGTAAATTAATAGAAACTTGCATAACATTAGTGGCCTATAAAAAAGGAAGTGGAAAAACTGGAGATTGTGAATATTCAACCTAACGAAGAACACACCCAAGCAAGTGCTCTGGGGAAAAAAACTAACATTTCTAGAAAGTATGTGTTTATGGCTAGCATATTAAGCAATTTGTAATTATTTTCTGGCCATAGATATGTAAAAGTAAGGTTCTATTCGAAGACATTTATTTACTGAACAACAACAACAAACAAATAGCATTTCAGAAATTTAGCCTTGCCCCAAACCTCACAAAATGTTTCAGTAGAACTCAGGATTTCACAAAAAGAATTCTATTATATTTTTTTTTTAAGCAAAAATGTGGTACCAAAAGAAAAGCTTTAGTCAATTTAACTTTAGCTAAGTTTGTTTGATTAAAGAACAGTTCATGAGTCTTGCTACACTCCAAGCAGAGGCCTTTTTTTTTTCCGGCCAGATGTAGGAGAAATGTAGAGAAATCAGAGGAGATTAGGTGCGTTCAGGGTGGTATGTCTATAGACAAGTGTATTTAATGAAACAATAAAAGAAAATTTTCCTAAACTGGAGAAAGAATTAGCAAACAACATCTAGGAAGGGCACAGAACTCCCAACAGGGTTGACCCAAAACAATCTTCACCACGAATCGTGATAATCAAGCCCTTGTCAATCAAACATAAGGAAAAGATCCTTAAATGTGCTTGAAAAAAAATCAGTTGACATACAGAGGAAAGGCAATTAAATTCACAGCTAATCTCTCACAGGAAACTCTACAAACCAGAAGAGAATGGAACAACATAGTCCAGATTCTAAAAGCAAAAAAAATTGCCAGCCCAGGATAACATATCCAGCAAAAGTTTCCTTTGTCTGTGAAAATGAAATAAAACTCTTCTACAGTCAAGAAAAGTTAAAAGAACATCCCTCTTCCAAACCTGCTGTGCAAATGATAAAGATGTTCTCTTGACAGAGAAAAGGAATAGTGCCCACCAATACCAAAGGCAAATATGAAGAACGTCACAGTAAAATAAGAACAGAACACTAAATCAATGAATAACCCATTGCTAAATGACAGGACAAAATTATTACCTATTTATATTAACCCTCAACATAAATGGCTTAAACTCAACAATCAATAGATTAGTAGACAGGATTAAAATAACAAAACCCATCTGTTTGTTGCCTCCAGGAGATACATCTCACTGACAAAGATCAGTGGAAACTGTATCACATGGATTTTGATATTTTGTCTTCATTTCATCAAAACACATTTTTTTCCCATTACATTCTTCACTGACTCATAGATCATACAGTAGTATCATTTTCTTCAGGAAGGTTCTTGATTTTCTTTTTCATTTTTTCAGCAACACATTAATCATTCATTATATACTCATGGCGTTGCTTCTATTTTTTTCTTCCTGTTGCTTTGTTTTGTGACTTTTCATTTAAGGGGATGTATAATAACTGTGTAATGGAGACTATCACATCCAGATGTGAGGACACAATGCAGTATGTATCTCTACTTCCAGACAAAAATGAACTCCCAATGAAACTGTTTACTATATCTTGACAATAGGATGCTGGACTCTCTGCCATTGTCCATGCCCACAATGATGGATTTAAGACTGCTTATGAGGAACTATGCTGTTTTAATGCCAGGGGAGAACCCTGTTGTGGCTGGAGGGGCGGGGAGGGAATAAGGGAGGGAGCGGAGAAAACCCCAGGGTCTATGGAACTGTGCATGAGGCATGAGTCCAGCCCGGCAGGGTTCTGCAGACAGCTAGCTGACAGGATAGCCATGAAGGATATCAGCAAGGGCTGTGAGAGCTGTAAAGTGCATACAGTGACCGTGCATGCATGCCATTGTGCACTAGGGCAAGGCTATGGAATCCCGAGGCTCCCAGATGGGTGCCTGAGCCAGGTTTGGACTTCAGCTAATGCCAGTGTCCCCACAGGATTCCGTCCCTCTCCATATCCCCAGTAGTGCAGAATGTGGGAGAGACATACATCAGCATATTCACCCAGATTTGCTATAGACCCAAAACTGCTTCACTTAAGCAGAATTTAGCTTAACACAGTCTCAGGATAAACCTCTGGATCTTTGAGTATAGTTTCCTCAAATGATTTTCTAGATAAATTTGAAATAATATAATTGTGTTGCTATTAAATTTGTCGACTCCCAATCCAATGTTTTTGCTTTATAATAAATCTGATGAGTTTTACATTAAAAAAGAAATATAGCGAAACCACTTGATTCCCAATAGGTGGATGCCCGCCTTATTTGGGCGTGATGTCATGACGCATTTACCTTGTTGGAGCATGATCTGATTAGTTAGCTGCTTGTGAGTGACCCTAGGTTGGCTGCTTGTAATTGCGTGAAACTCAGGTCTTTGTTTTAGTCCCAGTTAGGTTTTGGTGTATATTACTGTAAATTGCAGTTGGCTATATGCCAGTATGGAATCCTGGGATGCAGGAAACCTTAGCCCTAACTTAACAAAAAGAAACGCATTCCTTGATCTGTATTGAGAGCAAAACAAGTGGTCATAAAATCAGAAGGAATACTTACTTTGGTTAAATCAAATATTCTCTTATCTGAAATGAAACTCTGAAAAAGGAGAGGAATGGTAGATTCTAACTCATTGAAAAGCGTTGAGCATGGTCCTGGGGATAGTATCACAGTTTTGAATCAGTACGAAGAGATTTGTTTAAAGTCACACGATTCTGTGCTTGCACTTATTCTTATGTCATTTGTTTGTTTTTAGAACAGATTCTCCCCCACGACTAACCTACCTGAGTGTTGCTGATGCTGATCTGCTCAACCGTACTTGGTCAAGGGGTGGCAATGAGCAATGTCTCCGGTACATTGCCAACCTCATTTCCTGCTTCCCCAGTGTGTGTGTCCGTGATGACAAAGGAAACCCAGTCTCCTGGGCCCTCACAGACCAGTTTGCCACCATGTGCCACGGCTATACCCTCCCTGATCATCGTAGGAAAGGTTACAGCAGGCTGGTGGCCCTCACGCTAGCCAGGAAATTGCAAAGCCGGGGATTCCCTTCTCAGGGAAATGTCCTGGATGACAACAAGGCATCAATAAGCCTCCTAAACAGTGTTGGCGCTGAGTTCTTGCCCTGTCGTTTTCATAGGCTTATTCTTACCCCTGCAGCTTTCTCTGGTCTAACTCAGTGAAACTTCAGTAATTCTCTTTTTTAAAAAAAAATATATTTTTATTTTGAATTTTTGAATTATAGTTACAATTTTGTATAGACTGGGAATCCCCTGCAAACTCCCACCCGGATAGATTTTCCCCATTTTGCTACAATGGTATAGTCCTTCAGTAATTGCCTTTGCTTGCCTGACCATAAACACACTTTTACATGACAATGAGGAGGGTAAGTAAAGCTAGAATCAGAAGCATTTGAGTTTTGAAAAGGGACGTGGAAAAGACATGCTGGGTTAACCCACACAGCCTTGCAGGTTTCCCCAACAAATTGCTGTGTGGGTTAGCACAAGTTATCCCAAAGAACCGTGTCATTGTCCTTCTTAAGGAAAAAAAAATTATTCTTCTTAGGAAAAAACAATTTTTTATCAAGTCAAAAGTTCATAGCACAGTAGCAGAAATGAGTGTATACTAATAAATAACAAAGGACTTGTGGCTTCTGTGTGTGTTATTGTTGAGTTTGGGGCTTCTGCTTCTCACCACCACACCAGTTCCTCACTGCAGAAAAGCTGTGCATCTCCTGCTGCTCTACCTCACCTCTGTGCCTATCATTCCACCCCACGTTCTCTAAGTTTTCTTATGTTTACCCTTTCCTTACTGACTTCCCCCAGGGGATTAGGCACTCAGCAGCAGTTCTCCCCTGGGGCTGTTTAGATGCAGTGGTTCTCACCTCTGAGTGTTTCCCTGAGCCACCTGGAGGCCTACTTACAACACAGAAGAACAGACTCCTCCACCATCACTCCTGAATCAGCCAAGTAATTTGCATCTCTGAGAGGTTCTCACTGCTACTTAACTTGAATGGGTGAAGAAACAGACATTATAATGCTATAAACAAATTCAGCAGGGGACTAAACCCTTCCTAATAACCTGTTTCAGGACCCTGCTCTTACAATCGGCTTTCTCATCAAAAACTCAGGCTCACTTTGTGGTGTGAAGATGAGCCAATTAACATAAGTGTATTTACATACATATCCTATTCATATTTCCCATATGCATATATACACAAACTTGTGATAAAGTAATAAACTTCAGCCCTCTCATGTAAAACTTGAGGACCAGGAAGAACAAATAATTTCTTCAAAATCATAATCTACATAATATCAGGGTCAAGCCAGAAGTCTGTAATTTTGATTTCAATTTCTTTTTTTTTTTAAAGATTTATTTTTATTATTTTTTCATTGGAAAGGCGGATATACCGAGAGGAGAGACAGAGAGGAAGATCTTCCATCCGATGATTCACTCCCCAAGTGAGCGCAATGGGCCAATACTATGCCGATCCGAAGCCAGGAGCCTCTTCTGGGTCTCCCACGTGGGTGCAGGGTCCCAAAGCTTTGGGCTGTCCTCTACTGCTTTCCCAGGCCACAGGCAGGGAGCTGGAAGGGAAGCGGGGCTGCCGGGATTAGAACCGGCGCCCATATGGGATCCCGGGCGTGCAAGGCGAGGACCTTTAACCACTTGCGCCACTGCGCCGGGCCCTGATTTCAATTTCTTATTTCACCAAATTATGTATAATTTTTATTTTAAAAAGTTAAATTTTATTTACATTTTATTATATTATTCTATTATCTACCAGCACTTGTTTCTAATTAAAGTTTCAATTGTTTGCATATATCTGCCAAAGACAGTAGAGGATGAAAAAACCATCCCAAGCTGTGTTCTCAAGTTGGAATAAAAGGCATAAACGCAATGATTGGATTTATCTGGTCTAGAGACAAGTGTGTGACTTAACAATGTATTTCCATCAAGACCATAAAATCCTGACTGTGGTCATGGAAAATCCAGTATTTACTCTGAGAAAAAAAGAAGCAAACTTGATGAAGTAAGGGACATTTTCATTAAAAATGAAGACACTTTGAGAAGGAACATAAGCTGACGTCATCCCGAGCCAGTGGTTACCTGGAAACTTATCCTTGGTGGCAGAGTGGAGAGACTCTAAGTAACCAGTCCATAAACCTCTGGGGGGAATGTGGGCTAGTGTCTGCTCCAGGGATGCTCATTATCTTTAGCACTGCTGAAGCACAAGTTACTTCCATCTTCCATATGGTGATATGGTAGCTTTACTTTCTTCCTAGGGATACTTAGCCTGTTATCTGTTTAACATAACCTAAACCTTATTAAGGTATCCTCTCACTGCGAGAATTGTGGCTTACAGGTGTCATGATTCATCAATAGGTATGTATGCTTTTAAGTGGTCAAGTCATGATCATAACCGGGTTTGTCAGAGTCCAAACAAACTGTGTAATTATACTATGCTATTAGTCATTATGCTAATTGGCTCTTAAGAAGCTTGGGGCACTTTGCAGCTCAGGTAATTATTCCATCAGTGCATTGCTTTCTAAATTTTCCACCCCAATAATGCATCTTATATTTTGGAACTTTTTTTTTTTAACCAAATTGCACTTACCACCTTATTTCATTTTGTCCTCCAGATGACCATGTTGAATTTAAGTGTTCAGCTTTTAACACTGTGCTGGACACTTTTAGGAAATACGCAGAAAAATATCTGGCATAGGAGAGAAAGACAAAAAGAGAGAGGTTCCTCAAGCACAACGGATCTATGTTATTTGCTAATTAAAGGAAATTCTCTAGTATAATATACAACCAATCTCTTACCAATGAATATCAGTTTTATGTGGTGTCAATCTGTTTGGAAATTAGTAGGGAGTCTATAACACAATTCAAAATGACAGTAATCTAAATTTGAATTCTAGTAATGATGATAGTGAGACATGGATGATTCCTGAGCTAGTTAAGATGAAAAACTGACAGCTTAGAAATCAGATGACTGTAGGAGATGTTAGAAACCTCAGATGTTTCTGTTGTGAAAATCAAGGCCTGTTGTATTTTGACTCAGATCAGAAGCACTGGAAGAATGCCAGGTCGAGGACTACTGGGAGCAGGGAGAAGTCTTCATTTGAGGAATGTTGAATTTTGAAATATGCAAATGATGGGGCTGGGTTAGATGCCTGCAACTTAAGCACAGAGAAATTATCTGGAGAAATGATCAGTGAAGTGAAATTAATATCAAGAGGTCAAGAGCACATGATGGGGGTCTGGTGCAGTGGCCTAGCGGCTAAAGTCCTCTCCTTGAACATGCCAGAATCCCATATGGGCACCGGTTCTAATCCCAGCAGCCCGACTTCCCATCCAGCTCCCTGATTGTGGCCTGGGAAAGCAGTTGAATGGCCCAAAGCCTTGGGACCCTGCACTGGTGTGGGAGACCTGGAAGAAGTTCCTGGCTTCTGGCTTCGGATTGGCGCAGCACCGGCTGTTGAGATCACTTGGGCAGTAATCATCAGACAGAAGATCTTCCTGTCTCTCCTCCTCTCTGTATATCCGACTTTGCAATAAAAATAAATATTTTAAAAGGATTTCATAAGGAATGAAAATTTTCATTGAAATAATACATACTAACTATAAATCAGAAATAAGATTATACATTTCAAGAGTCTATTTACATTCATAAAAAGTCCAAAGCCAGACAAAACTAATCTCTATTTCTAGGTAGTGACAAGAAGAGGAGACAAAAAAAAAAAAAAAGGCCAAAAATTGGCCCTATACAGTCCCCAAATGGTGGACGGAAAGAGGAAAGGCAGCCAGTTTCAGCCCCTGCTGTTTTCCTCTCTGTTTCCTGCCTCAGCTCTCAGCTGTACCAGTGCCACGAATGTTTCCAACTCTGTTCCATTTTTATCCACTTTTTAAGTGAAGTGTTTTTTTCCCCCTATTTGGGGAATTCTTAAATCACTTTTTATTCTTAAATCACTTCTTTTTTTTTTTTTATTGTTGCTTACATTATATTATGTAGTACAGTTTTATAGGCGCTGGGGATTGCCCCCACCCCTCCCATGCCCCTCCCCCCCCCATGGTGGATTCCTCCACCTTGTTGCATAACCATAGTTCAAGTTCAGTTGAGATTCATTGCTTGCAAACACATGCCTAGCATAAAGTTCAGCGTCTTATTGTCCAGATAAGTTCAGTGGCCTCTTGGGGAGACCTTCTATGGTCTGAAGATAGGTCTAACAGAGTAAAGATCCAGTCAGTTAAAAGCCCCAACAAGGCCTCAGTATCATTATACAACATTATGGAATTAATTGACATAGTATTGGGTAAACAATATGTTAAAAATAATGCAAGTTCCATTCTTCGAAACATCTGGGTTGAGACAGTATCAATGACAGGTTCAAAAAATAACAAACCACCAAACAAAAAATTACAGGTTAAATCAAGGCAAACATGTGGTATCTAATCTTTTGGGATTCGCTCATTTCCCTTAGCATTATAGTTTCCAGTTGTGCCCATTTAGCCACAAAGAACTGCATTTTGTTTTTTTTAATAGCTGAGTAGTATTCCATGGAGTAGATGAACCAAAGCTTTCTTATCCAATCTTCTGCAAGACCTAGGAGTAGGTCCTGACTTTCTAAGAAGGACACCAAAAGCAATAGCAGTTGAGAACAGAATAAACAAATGGGACCTCATCAAACTAAGAAGCTTCTGTACAGCAAGGGAAACAATCAACAAAGTAAAAAAGCAACCCACAGAGTGGGAGAAGATCTTTGCACACGATATAGGCGATAGGGGGCTAATTTCCAGGATATACAAAGAACTTCAAAACAACCAAAAAACCAAAACAAACAAGCCACTCAAGAAATGGGCACGGGAAATGGGCAAACATTTCACAAAGGAACAAGTCCAAATGGCAAACAAACATATGAAAAAATGTTCCAGCTCCCTAGCAATAAGGGAAATCCAAATTAAAACATCGATGAGGTACCACCTAACACCAGTAAGATTGGCCCACATAAACAAGAACACCAACGACGCTTGCTGGCGAGGATGCGGGGAAAAGGGAACCCTACTCCACTGCTGGTGGAGCTGCAAATTGGTACAGCCTTTATGGAAATCAGTCTGGAGAACACTCAAACAACTCAAAATCTGCATACCATATGACCCAGCAATAGCACTCCTAGGAATATATC